TTCAATCCATCCAGTCCACACCGCCTAATCAATTTGAGGCTAGCAGTAATTAAATACCCACTTCAATATTAATAATCATTGATTATAATCAGGGTTCCTATTAGTGATATGGATAACGACAATCGAGGCTGCGTCTCACACTATATCCCATTCCAATATGGGAATCAGAATCTTTCGTATGTATGTGCATGTTTGCATGTGTGCGTGTGTGTATGTGATTATGTGTGTTTTCACACCTCATTCATAAGTTCCATCTATATGACCTGTAAATAATTGAGTCTGGACCAGATAATCCAGCAAGCCTGACCACCTGATCCACTAAGTTGCCTCTTACAACAAGCATGGGTTGCTGAGGACCAATTCTAACCCAGAATCCCCAAGAGGATTTTAGTCAGTACTCAACCCTGATTACCTGTTAGAATGTGTCCTAAAAACAGGAGGACATAAACCTTGGGGCACATTAGAATTTTGTTTGTTCATACTATTAAAAAGAGTTCTTTAGGATCACTTAATGTCGTCAGAGAATAGTATTAAATGTGAAATTAATACCCACAAAAGGCCCCATTTCTGGAAAAAATAATTTATTGCACCAATTCTCGAACTCAGTGTTGCTAAGTACTTCTTAGATAAGCTAACTTAAGTAGTTTCAGAGAAAACTTGTCCCCATGGCAGACACCATGCACTTTGTCAAATAACATGGATCAAGGGCTGTAACTGCATATGCTCAAAATCTAAAAACATTTAGCAAGGGAAGTAACTCTGCAAAAAAATTTACAGGACAAATTTTCGCACAGTCTTGACAAAAATCTCATAGATAAGCATGCGAACTGCCGTTCATGTAACGTCAGTTGTTTCTGAGAAATGTTGTCCCATTCCAGACACTATGCAGTAGATTGGAAAACACGGGGCAAGGGCCATAACTCTGTAAAAAATGAATTTAGGGACCAATTTTCGAACTCAGTCTTGACAAATATCTCCTATATAAGAATGCAAACTTTCATTCATGTAATTTCAGATGTTTCTGAGAAAGTTGCCTGACAGAAAGACAGACTTTGTGACGGGCAATAAAAAAGATATTTTCATTTTAGTGACTACATGATAGTCTTGTAGTCAAAGTGTGCAATCTCACATAGGTTATGTGAGAAGCAAAGCATCTGGTAACTGCAGTCCAAACACTGTAGCCCAGATGGACACAATACACAGGCTGAAATATAGTGTGCCTAGAAAATTCTGGACAAGTAGCCTTCAGCAAATAGACTTTGAAAGTTAACAGAGGCTTGGGACTTACAATACTAATTTAACCAGGACAGATAATCCATAATTTTGTTGGGTATTCTCCAAATGGCGAGCATGAACCACGATCATTAACAATTGTTATGACAATTATGTTTTCACTATCATGATTGTAGGCCAAGTGCAATTACAATAGACACCAGTCATCAGTTGAGAGCTAATGTTGCATAATGCAAAGTGGTTCATATAGATGACACAAAATGTGTCTCGATAAAATTGGACACCAAAGGCCTTGGTACATTACTGACCAAAAATGTCAAAGATAAATTCTCAGTCAAGAGTAATGGTTCCAAAATTTAAAAAGACTTTACTTATCTATCATAAATTAAAAAGCTATTCTTGTTAACAAATGAACTTCTTATCAAGTGCTCCCATATCATCCTTTAATGTTATGCATGACCATAAAACTGTCATGAAGAACTAAAAATTGTCACTTGTGTGCCTTGGGCAATGGCAGCAAGCTACCACTAACGTCATGTTTGTATCACTGCACTTGTTTGCAAGTGTCACAGGTCACAAACTGCATCATCCTTTGTGTCAAACACCACTGCTAACCCAGAAAACCAGTCAACCAGATCGTGTTACACCTCCTCCAAATGCTAATGTTGTGACCTCTGCACTCTCCATAGAGTGCAACATTGACAGTGAGACAGTACACAACAACAGCATGTTTATCTCCCTGCCAGTGTAAAGAAAGCCACATGTCAGCTCAATATGTCAGTATGACGTCAGCCAAGTGCCTCGCCAGCGGGGCATCCCGATCTAGAATTGTCACCATAAACTTTGAGCTACATATATTTCCTTGTTCCTACATAGTCAGAGGAAGTTATTTATCAGAATGAAATTTGACAAATATTCGCAGTGAATGGTAGAAACAAGGAAACAATTTGAATTATGTCAATAAACAAAGTCCATCCTATATGGGCACCATAAAAATCATACTACTCAAAAGAAGATACAGAACACCAGATTCTGCCATATGACAATAGGTAATCTGTCATGGCCAAAATATAGTAATATGAAAGTATCAGGTGTTCATTAACTTCTTTTGGGTAGTGTGTGTGTGGAGGGGGGGGGGGGGGGCTGTTACAATTCACTGGCGTATTCGGTGAATCGAACTGTATCCATTCATTCATGAATTTGTTATTTGTGGCCACTAGAATCGAATATTTATGAATAAGCAATCATGTGCATTTACATACCCTGTACCTAAAATGTCCATAAGAACATATTATATGAATAGATATGAATAGTGTGGTCACTGGTCACTGGTCATTGTCGCTTTTGAGCAGATACTAGTACCCGGATAAGTGCAATATATAAATGTAAAATTTATTAATAATTAACAAACCATGTTAAAAAATTATGTTATTGTTTCACTGAATATGACAAATAATACATCAACTGCTGACTTGTTATTGTATTCGTGAATTAATATTCGTTTTGGTTACCCTATATTCGTGATACGAATCGTATTCGCCTCATACGAGGTGTGTGTGTATGTGTGTGTGTGTGTGTGTGTGTGTGTGTGTGTGTGTGTGTGTGTTCATTTAGCTGTTGGATATTGAAATATCTAAATGTTTTGACAGTTTGTTATCCTACATTTCAACACATTGATTCCTAAACATACTCATAGTGTAAAAATGATGAAAGTGTTTGCACTGACATTTCATAGCTGACATGTTTTATGATTGTTGATACAATGTTTACGATTGCTATGTGTGAGAGTCAGTGACCGGACCACATGGCAAGATCTCTGACCTCAATCGGCTACCACGTGGCAGGTCAACTGCCTGGTGTGTGTTGACCGTACAGGTCGATGAAGTTCACCTCTTATCATGTTTGTGAAGTGGCACATGCCCCAATGAACAGTAGATGACCCTGGTGTCTATTTATTGACAGTGATTTAGGCCTGCTAAGTCAGCTATTTTCAATTTGATTTTAGTGTATGTGGAAAACCCTTAACTTCAATAAAATGTATTTTAATCTGCATTCAGTTTCCACACAATACTATAGTAAATGGGTAGCGTGCAATGGTAGACTAGTAGGCAGTGTCTGCTTTAATTTGGTTGGCCTGTGATAGATTAAATGTGCCAGATCAATTGCCTTGAGTCAAAGTTTTACCTGTTAATCTAACAATTATTTTCTTGAATGGCCAAAAAGAAAGATAATGTTCCCCCAAAACAATTTAGTGCAGATTCAGAACTGTTAATGTATTTAAAACGAATGTCCTTATCATTATGCTGCTAGATGCTATTTTGGTGAAGTTTGTTGAGATAAAAAATAAACATGATAAACACACTGTTGTTAAACTGCTGTTTTTGAGATAGAGAACACCTGTTTTAACAACAAATAATTTCTGTTCATCTATCCATTCACTTTAATATTGGGGCATGTGCACAATCATAAAACATGTCAGCTATGAAATGTCAGTGCAAACACTTTCATCATTTTTACACTATGAGTATGTTAAAGAATCATTGTGTTGAAATGTAGGATAACAAACTGTCAAAACATTTAAATATTTCAATATCCAACAGCTAAATGAACATATACCGGTACCTTAAATATTTATTCCAACAAAATGTAAAATTAGGAATGTGTCTCCCTTGTGTGCCACGGGACACTCATAACAATGCTGTCTGTGTCTGTGTAATGTAAGTGTGTCAACAAGGATCTAATAGAATATTTTTTATCCATCTTCCTATTCTGTGAATATATATTTTTACCTAGAGATAGATAATAATCAGTTGTACTAAATTGAAATGTCTGTCCCTTCCTTTTCACTGAGCTTGATAATACCCTTATCAACTTGTGAGTAGCCAGGTTTATCTTGGGCATCAAACCATGCGTACTCATAACTTTTTTCATGGTAATAATTATCCGTATGTTTGTCCAATTTGGTTTTTCAAACAATGTCATCACGGTCACAGGGGTTCATATCATAGTACATAGTACTTACAGAGGAACAGTCATTAAAACCTAAGCACTTTTACCCTCTGACATGTCTAAATTCCCCTTGCTCTTTAAAACTAGCACCCAAGTGTCAATGTTGAAATGGGTAAGTCCAGTGACAAGGTAGGGTAAAAGACCCTTTCTGGCCCACAAGATCTGCATAATGTAAGAAGTCAGGGAAAAGAAATAAACATTATGATAGTTATCAGACGTGTTCCTAATAATGAGAAATAGACTTCCTATACAGACAGTACAAGCATATGGTAAAACACTGATCTTGGGTCACAGACATGGCTATTGACATGTTGGCCATGCCTCTGTACTGTATCATGCAATTAGTCCAAAACTTGCAAGTGCAAGAAAGATAACAAGGTCAGAGGTCAATCATATGAACATACTCCACAAGCATCTTATTTCATATTTCAAATAGTTCCTTTAATTCTTCAATATTTCTAATGTTTGTTGGTTGGTTTGTTGTTTAACGCCGCACTCAGCAATTTTCCAGCTATATGACGGCGGTCTGTAAATAATCTAGTCTGGACCAGAGAATCCAGTGATTAATATCATGAGCATCGATCCACGATCCATGACATGCATAAACCAAGTCAGTGAGCCTGACCACCCGATCCCGTTAGTCACCTTTTACGGCAAGCATGGGTTGCTTAAGACCTACCCCGGATCTTCACGGGTCCTAATTTCTAATGGGACACAAACGAACCACGTAACTTTTGAGAACTGTTTAGACTACTTACAGTCTGAAGCACTGTCTCATTGCTCCACGGGTGAAGGACTGAAAACAAGAATACAAGAGTCAACATAACGTACATGAAAATATGTTAGCATGAGTCGACTCACTATGGTGTGGTGTGGTGTGGTGTGGTGTGGTGTGGTGTGGTGTGTGTGGAGGGGGATTGTGGGTGAGGGTGCTGCCACAGTGATTATTAGATGATTACTGCTTTGGTGAAACACATGAGCACTTCTATGGTGCTGTTCAATGATGGTCTTCATCTTACAGAGAAACATCCTGACAGTAAAAACAAACATAAAAGCCAGGGCCTTACTCAACAAATAAAGGCAGCATTGTTAGCACCAGTGTCCTGAGAGTACTTGAGAGTGAGAACCATTATTCTTAAATAATATTACTGATGACTTCATTATAGTTGACATCATTCTTGCATTTAAGGGTCATTTAATCCTAATCTAACAGTTGTTTTGTATTTGAACTACCATATTTTCTTGAGTATAGTGCACTCTTTTTTTCTAAAAAACAAAGCTGTGTAGAAGGGCATTATACACACCATAATGAGTTTTGATGTTTCATTTAAATAAAACCATGTCAACAAATCAATACTGAAGTACGCAAGTTAATCAGTAATTACTAGGGCTGCAACGAATACACTATGAGGTGAATACGATTCATATCACGAATATAGGGTAACGAATACGAATATTTATTCACGAATACAATAACAAGTCAGCAGTTGATGTATAATTTATTATATACAGAGAAAAATAACAACATAAATTATTTGACATAGTTGGATAATTATTAATATATTCTACATTTATATACTGCATTTATCCAGGTACTAGTATCTGCTCAAATATGACAATGACCGATGACCATAATACTGTTTAAAATTATATATATGAGTGTTGTCTTTAAAGAAATCTCCGCATATAATATGTTCTTTTGGATATTTGTAGGTACAGGGTATGTAGATGCACATGACTGCATATTCGTAAATATTCGATTCAAGTGACCACAAATAATGAATTCAATTCATGAATGGATACGGTTCCATTCACCGAATACGCGGGTGAATCGCAACAGCCCTAGTAATTACACTGTATGGTTAAAAAATGTGTTCATTGTATATCTGGACTTATGTTTGCATTTCCTTCAACTTCAAAATGTTCTAGTAGTCCTTTCTATAACTGTGATTTTGCAGACTGCAACGGTCAGTCTAGTGTCTCCACTTATTTAGACAAGAGTCATCAGGAGATGACATATCCCCCCCAGTCTGGCTACTTTTGGCTTACTGCCATTGGATACCTTCAGTTCAGTGAAGAAAAATAAAACGCTGTTCAGTATTTTTCAATATCATTAATCATCAAAAGACACCAGTTCACCACAAGACTGCTGTGTACAGCAAGTTTCATCAAGAAATATTCAACAGTTTTCAAGCTCTGCTCTTGAAACGAGCACAACCCTGGTTTTCAAATAAGTCCAAATTGTTTTCATGAACACATAAAAAAAAAATTTTAAATAAAGATCCCAAATCATCAAAAGGATCCAGTTCCCCACTACACTGATCTGTATAGCAAGTATTTCATCTAGAAATATTCAACAGTATTTGTGTTCTGCTCTCGAAACAGAAAATGGACAGAGGACAGACGGGCATGCTGATTGCTATATCCAATATCCAATAAAAGTTTGAGTAATTATATTCCAACACTGTCTACACAGATTACCCTTCACAGATGTCAGGCTAAAAACACTTGCTGTTTTAAGTCAATATTGTGGCTATTTTAGGTTTTTGAGTGACCATAGTGCAACTTTTTGTTCTGATTGTTTTCTATCAATTATCTTCAGAACAGCAGATAAGAGAAATCTTTTAACACATGACATTCATTTCAATATTTCTGTGTCAAGTAACCGACTACCAATGAATGTGAAGGGGCCAGGCATAATAGATATATAGAGCCAGGGGCTCAAGAACCCATAGAGCCTTCTTCTAAATCAGTCGGACAAGGTCAATCTGGGTTCACCTGACACAAACTTTTATGGTGTGGTCCTCATATGCAAAGAGGTATGCAAAGAGGTCCTTAATGCAAAGAGGTATGCAAAGAGGTCCTTAATGCAAAGAGGTATGCAAAGAGGTCCTTAATGCAAAGAGGTCCTTAATGCAAAGAGGTATGCAAAGAGGTCCTTAATGCAAAGGGGTATGCAAAGAGGTCCTTAATGCAAACAGGTATGCAAAGAGATCCTTAATGCAAAGAGGTCCTTAATGCAAAGGGGTATGCAAAGAGGTCCTTTGTGCAAAAAGAGATTATTAGTGCAAAGAGTTATGCAAAGAGGTCTTTAATGCAAAGAGGTCTCATTTGAGAGTAAAAGATCTGATTTTAAAGAGATTGCAGTATTATTAGATTAATAACCGGGACTTTCTGTTTTCAGGGAATAAAATACTGTAGCAGTTATCATGCCTACACTGCAGATTCATGGTCCTGTCATAATAAAGAACCTTTCGATAATCTGATTATCCCTGAACAGTGGCACATACTGTAAATGTCACCCTACTGTACGTAAGATCATTACAGCAATATAGTATTCATGCCACGACCAAAGATCAATGTGGATCATACCATTCAAAGGCTACATGTCTGTGCCAATACATCACTTTAACCCTGGCTATTTGAAAACTGGGGTGACAGATATTGACACACCTCAGGTCAAAGGTACAATGGCTGCTTTGAGATAGTGGTCTCAACTCTTTTAATGCCATGTGGGCACTGAAACTGTGACACGTTCTGCTGAAACTGTGACAAGTTCTATGCAGGATCTGAACAAAAATGTCATAACAATAGGGTCAGAGGATCAGAGGAAGTTGTCAAGGTCAATATGCCTCACCTCAGAGAGGAAGCTGTGATACATGTATCACCTGCAATAAGCACAAAACATAAAGTCTGGGTTTCAAGTTCATATTCTAGGACACTGACTTATTGTCATTTAAATTTTATTTTTTTTAATTTGGTAACAACAAAGAGGAATGTCCTGTCAGAAGTTGACAAAATCATGAAAATTTCCACATGCCATTTGCACATGATTTGTCTCCAGCAAAATTATTGGCAACCTCCGGATTGGAGGTAAGGTAAGGTTGAGTGCACTAGTAATTGTTACTGTTTCCCTTCGTGTAAAGTGGAACAGCCCTACACAAATGACAGAGAACCAAAATATGAGGTATTTGGAGAACATGTTTATGATATACTTATATTAATATCAAAATAAAACATAAAAATAAAAATATTTGTCATAAATGTGACAGAACTGTGATGTAATCATAGCATATCATTATCAACATGATATCACTATATATGAATCACACTTCATAACAAATCAGTCCATAACAGTAGACAGAATCATAATACAGCTTATATTATCATATTATTGCTCAAGCCAGCTTTAGCAATTGTCTAACTTGATCTGTATCCAGCCCTGCCCCTTGTGATCTTCCTTGTGTTGCACAGCTAGACCAAGGTCTGGGGTCTTTCTACATATGGCCTGGATGTAGCAGAGCTACAGATAAGCTGCGTATTTGCGTAAAATACCTAAACAAAACATTCAAAACCCAATTACTTTCAATTAACTTGCATACAGAAACGCATGCATTAAACGAAAAACTCAAATGTGTAAAAATAGCATGCGTAAATACCCAATGAAGCTTTTTCAGCATGCTTACAATGGAGCCAATTTCTGAAACAATTACGAACTAATTTACTTTCCGAGTCAAGCCGATAGTGAGGGCCCTTATATACATCTAAAACATTATTTTATTTCTTTGGAAATCTCAAAATGTTAACTCTTTTTGAGAAAAACCCAATAGACATGATAGAGTGATGAATAGATGAGTGAAAAATTATTGGTTTCCCCAATGGAAAATGTAATACTGTATTCGATGTAATAAGCACCCGGGGGGCGCTCTCAAAATTAGAAATAGGGGGCTCTTATTAGAATATTATTTTGGTTGAAAAAACAGAGTTGAAATATAAATTTCATGGTTTATGCTGACAGCCTGACATGTTTATATATGACAGATATATATACGCGAAACAATAAGTCTTGTGTACATTGATCAATCGGAAGGGGTGCGAATTGGGATTGTTCACTAACCAATATATTAGCAAATATGGCCGTGGGCGCTTATTAGAGCAGGGTGCTTATTACGATGAATACGGTAACCCAATTTAAATAGAAACCTTCGAGTAAAAACTTAATTGCTCAAAGAGTAAACACCCCTTGATATCTGCTGCTGGGAGATGTCCCTGTATAGGATGCTGCTCGTAGTAGGGTGGGTTTTCTTTTTGAGTGACTTCTGACTTGGACTTCAAGCCATATACTACATGTGGGCTTTTACCCCTTTATGAAGAATCTCAGATAATAATGGTTATAATTTTAGGGATGGATCTAACTTACAAACTATCAAATGTAGGACCCATGCAAACACGCTTCTTCCCAGTATGATTAAACTGTGGAACACTTTTCCCGATAACTTTATTAACGCCTGGTCATCAACGGCCTTACATGATAAACTAAATGTACTTAAACTTTGGTTCTAAATTCTGTCAAATTGGGCATTGTCGCCTCATGGCTCGGCTGTAGAGAATTAAAGGCTCATAAATTTAATCTACATGTGACAGACAGACCAGACTGCAAATGTGATTATCATTTCGAAGATGCTTTACACTTTCTAAGGACATGCCGAAACTATGAAAATATTAGAAATGACATGTATTTTTACACCCATAGATATAACCCAAAACAGTTTAATAAGGCAGCTCTTCATTCAGCAAAGCAATAAACACGGAAATTCTTAAATCAATCCACAATTATATTGTAAAAAGTAAAAGATATGAATATTAGTTATAATAATCTAAATACATTTTGTATAAAATATTGAAATTGAGATACTGCATTCCTTTAACTCGGACACCAATAGCTCCAGCTCACGGTTACAGGTTAACCTTATTTATTGTACATATATATTCAACATATACATGTTTATGTAAAGTTATCAACTGTAATCTGTTTTTCCTGGAGCGTTTGTTGTACAAGCAATGTTTTGCTTGTTTTTCAATCCTGCTTTAGTTTATGAAATAAAAGTATGTTTAAACCACATACATTGAGTCCCATGTGCTATATCATTGAAATACTTCAAAGATTTGTGTATAGAACACAAGCATCCGGGCGCGAATCAAACACAATTCATTTTTTCACCATTTCCATTTTACAAGTTCTGCAGGGATTTGTCTTGGATTTCAACAAAGTGTCCTTGGGGAACAAATTGGGCCTACAACGGTTATTTTTGTTCAAAGTTCGGATTTGTTTTAAAGTTTCTATCTTAAATTCAGAGCTAACGTAACATTGCATTCAAGCATTAAATCCAATTCATCCTTATTGGTCTCATTATGAAGGTCAGTGAATACAAGACACCAGTGCAGAGCTATAAACGCCTATCGGTAACCATAATACGAATGGATCTTTTTAATTCCAAATAGTGAATATTTAGTCACATATTTGCCACTAAGCTGGACTTAATAAATCCTTGTTATTGAAAACAAAAGAAATTGTACATTTTTAAGCTGATAGTGCCTACCAACAAGTCCTAACAATAAGTCAAACATCACTAGAAATTATTGCAGCGGACACTCAATTCTATAATGTGCATGCTGGACTCAAAACTAAATACATTCAGCAAATAATACTGCTTTCAGCTTGGTATACAGTCATCAAAAGGTCTAAAAATATAAAAAAATATTCCGATAGCTGACAATATGTCAAATGCCATTCATATGCCATAGAAATATAAATGACGAACTTAATTGTTACCACAGCAACAGTATCAAAGTGCCTTTAAAACCAGAGAAGCAGCCCCATCCCTGACATTTATTAAAGTTCACAAAATCAATACATGCCACCATGCATTTCCAGTGTCATCCCGTTACCTGTGGTTTGGTGAAACGATGCCAACAACAACCTCACACCGGATTAAAGAAGCTTGCCGCTGCACACATGACGAACCTCAAAGCATTTCCACTATTATGACAGCACTTTACAGATTCTGACAGGCATTGGTTTTTCAGACAAGTTTTAATGACTTTTCTTGACAACTCGACAACAGGTAAGAGACTGTAAACACAGGTAGATTTTAATAGGCCTTGGCTAAACACTCCCTTTCAGTCTTTGCATTGAAAAAGTACAGGGATTTATCTGGACCTGCTTTGATTCTGATATTCTACCCCGAATCTGCAGCCAATGTCAGTTAAAATGTCCAAATTGGAACTAAATATTTCCCAAATCATGTTATATAGTTATAACTAATGTTATGGCGTTGTAGAGGTGGCTTGTATTTCACTAATAACAGGACCAATACAGAGTAAGCGGCTTTAATGCTAAGTTTGACATTATTGCATTGACTGTAATATTAAATTTAATGTTACATTACCTATGAATTCAGGAAAATAAGAACTCAGAAAAAAATACCAAGTTTGTAAGCAATAACAATTTTTTTCCAATTTATCTGCCAATGGCACTTAGTTTGGAATCCTAGATAAATCCCAGTAGTATGCAAAGTAATCAATTGTTCAACATCAAGGTCATGGTGACATGGAACATGTTGAAGCAATCATAACATTTGTCACATAGAAAATGTGTAAGTTGTGCAAGTCATCCAAATAACTGCAGTTTACCCTCATCCTCTGCCACCTAATATAAAGCTGTGAGTGTACAGTGGTTCAAACATGAAAAAGAGCATCACCAAACAGGAAACAATACAATACAATTCAACCCACAAGTGTGACCTTAGCAAGGTGAAAACAGAATATAACTAGGTGAACCCTGCGTGAACCACTTGTGACATACAGTCTGTATCTCACCATCTGTTTCTCTACCACGTGGGCATTAATGAATATATTACATAAGAAATATTCCAAATGCATGTCACATGTTGTATCAGGAAACGCAGACATGGCTACCATGTGCATAAAAATGTAGTCAACTGTGGGCTACGATTAACATTGTGAATATTCCTGAACAAAGATTTTTTGTCTCAGAGCTTTAAACTCTAAAATAAGTCAAAAGCCAAGCAGAAATTACTGTTTTGTGTAATCAAATGCACAAGCAAATTGGCTTGAGTGAAACCTTATTATTCTGAACCCTGTTAATCAAAAATGCTTCAAAGGATATTGATCAGAGACAATTGTACTTTAATAGTTTGTTTTTGTTTTGTTTGTTGTTTAACGCCGCATTCAGCAATATTCCAGCTATATGTATATGACGGCGGTCTGTAAAATAATTGAGTCTGGACCAGACAATCCAGTGATCAACATCATGAGCTTCGATCCACGCAATTGGGATCGATGACATGTATCAACCAAGTCAGCGGGCCTGAGCACCTGATCCTGTTAATCACCTTTAATACAAGCATAGTTACGTTTTACGGCCAGCATGGGTTGCTGAAGACCTATTCTAGCCCGGATCTTCACGGGTCATACTTTAATAGTTCTAATCCAGGCAAATTGACAGGCGTAAACCCTTTCACACGCTACTATTAGAAACTTGCTCCAGTCTATCATGCCTATTCTCTCATCAAAAAGTCATACCAGTAATGATTAAACTTCATAGGATTGTAGGGTTCCGTAGGTCTTGCATCTTCCGGAGGCAAGGGAGTTAACCAACTTTATAAGTCCAGTTTCTACCCTTGCCAAACCAGGCTGTAATTTCTGGGCTCAATTGTAGCTCCACCAGTGGCTATTACAAGTTATGTCCCTTCTGTCTCCCCCCTACTGGCCTATCAGATTCCACTTATCATATCACTTGCATTTGCTTCAAACAAAATGGCAGCACCCAGTCAAGATGATCTCAATGATAATAAAGATCTTTAGTAACAAATCAGGTTTTACCTCACAAAGTGATTCATACCATGTGAGCACCTTGAATAGAAACATGAAAAGATTTGGAAAATATGTGTCTACACCCAGTTGACGGAACACATGCTCTGCAAATCCTGCAATCGAACGAATTTGGCAAGGCAGTTGCCATGTTGCCATTTCCTTGGTATTACCTAAAGTGAAAAGCAAGATCATTTAGATGAAGAACTGTAGCAGCAAACTTCAAGGATGACCTCACTTAATTTCAAACATGGACAAAGACTGACTCTACTGTTGCTCACCTTATCCTGAATCTTGACGTTAACCTCATCCTGCACCCACGTCTTCTTGATGGCGTTGTAACGATGTCTGGTGCATCTCTCAACCTTCATGTCCTCGATGTGGAACACCTCCCAGGGGTCCTGCATCTCCTTTGCCTTTTTGATGGCCGACAGCCAGTGCAGCTTGTTCACATTGGGAACCGGTGGCAGGATGCTCGTCTGCAGCACTGGCAGAGGATTTGTGCCCAGGACCTTCGACAGACGCCTCTGTCGCAATGACATGAAGACTTTGGGTCTCTCGTCATCATCACTGCTCTGGTGGTCGCCACCGCTGTCCTCCTGTTCCGACTGAGATGCATCATAATTGGCATCCAAGTCAGTGATGGGGAATATCATAAATTCATCATCGCTGTCAGTCATCTTGATGTTTAAGTTGCTGCTTCTTTAATTCTTTTCTGATGTAAATGATTCTAGATGTTTCCAGTCTCCTTAATGCAGTTCTTTTCCTTCGGAGGTCTTAGCTGTTCAGTTCAAAGATGTAGAAACATGGTACTGGTCAGACCACGTCCTTAAAGTAGTTCCAAAAGCAGGAACCGATTACTCTGATTTGATAGCAGGAAGCGATCATGGGCCATCTCCCTAAAAACACAAATATCAATTTTTATCATTATCGCCATAATATTTGCATTATTGGGCATTTACTTGAAAAGAAATCCACTGAAAACAGTAGAAAGTAGATCATGCATTCCCCATACCACTACAACACCATATGATTTATGCTCATAGTGTAATGGCATGTGTCACAAAGGTGACATAACGAAATCCGCAGAAACGTTTCATCCTTTCATTCAGTAAGGCAGCAGATCAATAGTTTGATACAAAACTTAATGTCTTAATTTAAGACCTAAACCGACACCCCCTTTTAAATGTGAAAAGTAGATCTTTTGAAAAAAACATCATAGTATCATAACATATGGCATATTAAGTGAGTGAATATGGTCTTACATCAGCAATATCACAACAAAGGACACAAGAAATGGGCTTCATACATTGTACCCACGTGGGGAATTTAGCCCAGGCCTTCGGCATGAGGAGCGAACACCTTATCTACTAAACTAGCCCACCGCCCCTGAAGTTGATGCAACACAAACACTCCAATAAAAGTTTTTGAACTGACACAATCTTTCTTGCCCTTTATCTTGTTTTACCTAAGAAAGCGATTCTGTTACTTTCAGGAGAAACATATAATGATTAGAGGTGTTAAGTTAATCTGAAAAGTTGCTATTGTCCATCGGCCAACAATCAACCAATCTAATCTATGCGTAAATTTGTAACTAAATTACATTTTACGTGTGAAATGTGAATCAAATCTCAGGTTCAACCTCTCATCAAACAATTTTTGTAGGATTTTGTCAAAATTTAAACATGGAATTAGCTACAAAACCCTGGCTATAAACTGCTTTCTATAACCATTTGACATTTACTTATTGTGCCCACTGGAAAACCTAAACTTCTGTTTTGTTATTACTGAACCAACACCCAAGGGACAATGTTTATCATCTGTAGCAAACAAGAACAATACAACAACTGACTGCTTGTCAGATGATCCCATCAAATGATTACAAGCAGCTGTTTCCACAGATTCTCATCCTGTATCAGAATAACAAGCCTTAATTTGATACCTGTGCTCAAGCGACTATAATTGTATGGTAAAATTGTGTCACATCGGACATCTAATAAGCTTGATATCGAAACTGGAATATTCAATACTGTTATGAATAATTCAACTCAAAAGTAAACAAGCTGATAGGTATATTCTCCTGTATAACATTCTGGGTTGATACCAAGCGCATGTTGTTTTGTACCACAGTCACGATATCCCTTCTATCACTGCAGCCTGTAAACATGTTTACTCAACAAACATGTGGTTGATAGACAACCCACACTGCCAGGGTATAATGGCACAAAATCTGCACATAATAACAGCCTGATTCCCAAGTAAGGGATATATCTAAGATCTTAAACTATGTGCCCCTGGCAGGCAAATTGGAAACTATTGCCATTTATACACAAAGAGTCAAAGACACATTCACCATATACAAATCTGAGTCTGCATCACAGCAAGAGATGGATATTGCCTTGTGCCACATACACAATGTCGCTGTTTGACGATAATAGGTCTAATACTGTTTCTGCCTGTCTCACAACCAAGAAAAACAGCTAAATACCATCTTTGGCATGTTTATGAAACTCTTCCATATATCTGCTTTGAGAATTTGCACAAACTTGCTACAGAAGTGTTTAAACTTTCCTGTACAATAGGGCAGTCTTCATGGACTTCTACTATCTTGAATTTGCAATTCCCCACCTTGTTCCATTGTCAGGCCATTAACTGATTGGTTTATGGTTTCTGATCAGACCAATATCTCTCACGGACACTTCAGAGATTAAATCTCATCTGTCAATGCAATTGCCGAATTCTGCATTAATGTAACAATGTCCTTGTTTATTCAAAGAAATACCTTGTTACTGCATGTCAAGAAATCATGTTTCCTGATTATCACAGAGTGAAGGGAATATGTGTCAAGAACTTATAACTGCTAACGGACATGCAACTCTTAAAGGTTCTTTTCATCAATAAAAATGGGTATTTGCTTGACGTTTCACACAGGACAAAAACGGCAGTCATAAACTTGGTTTCTGTGTATACATAATCACATACCATGCACATGAGGAAATTATTAACCTACAGGCAACACACAAATTGCATAAACAAATTTGACAAAAGCTACATGTTAATTGACAACAAGCGTTAAACAAAGAAATGGGACACTGGTACATATGGAGTTTGTTTGTAAGAGGCTTGAGCAACACAAAAACAGCCAATCAATAGATCTATTTTGTTGCACTTGCAAAGAAGGTGACATCATTAGATGACAATGTGGCGAGTCTGTAACCAGTCTTGCTGATGCAGCAACGCTCCAAACGACCCTGCCCATCCCCCCAACCTGCCTGGATCCGCATGACCCACCCAACACACCGGTACGGTCTTTTCCGTCTGCTTCACGTCGTAAACAACCAAAATAAGACCCAGATCCTGACCTGAATGTTCATGGCAGATTTCTGCAAAATGCATTTAACCTAACCTACCCAGAGTCATTCGACCTTTCTCACCTGCAAGTATACACGTTGTGGCAGTTGGCAGTCTGCATTAGACTTGTTGGCAATTCCAGCGTGAAGTTGTACAGCGGTTGAAACAGGGGTCTCTTAAAGCTTTCTGCAACCACAACACGGAAATAGCTAAATATTATTCGCGCATGCGCAGTGATAAGGACGACACCACGTGTTTTTCCGCCCGCTTTGGCGTAAACAAGTCATTGTAGGTACTGTTAATCGTCATGTCAAGGCCGATGGAATCAAATTACATACACAAAGAAAGTATCATCTTTGATACACTCATAACATGTTTCATTAACAATGCAACATACATTTACAGATTGTTGTGTATAAGGGTTTAATTTTAGCCACGATTCAAGGCATTGGAACAGACGGAGATATTTTCAGATCGCTGGTAGCGTCAAATATGGATCATGGATATTTCTGTACTGTATTTCCTCTGATAAACGAAGACAATAGTTGTTTGGGTTTTTCCCCTGCACGGATATCAACAAAGACCACGTATGCTCTAACCAGAGACCATGCACATATCGGTATATTGTCTGTTCTAACTAGTGGTCAATTATGTAATTTAATATCCTTTTAAAACCCCTCGCGGAGATTCCGATTTTCGATTATCCGGTGTTTTAAAACTCCATTCAGACCCCTATTACGATAAATAATAAAAATGGAGATATATTGTATATATGACGCTAGGGCTGGGACCCGGGTCGGGTGGGTACTGAGTACGACCCGGGTACCCACAGGACTACCCGCACCCGTGGTTAGTCACGTGATATATTGTTTAATCAACTTTAATGACATAATTATCTGGAACTCTATGGATACACTACAAGTCACTAATGTTCGCATTTCTTTCTGACTATGCACCCATTCCTTCTGAATTTTCATATGGTTGAATAAAGATATAACTTAATTCAACTTCAGTGTTTGAATGACCAGATTGTTTAATACATGTATCTAAATACGTTCTGAAAGGGCTATAGTAAAAAAATCCCAATCGGACATTTGTAACTATTTCTTGAGACCTACGTTTTCACAGTGGGTACCCGGGTAGGGTCGGGTAATAGGGGGTGGGTACCCGGGTAGTAAATTTGGACTCGTCCCAGCCCTATATGACGCTATATTATCGCGGGCTCTGTATCATAGCTGATCGATAAATCTTTAATCCAAATCCCCTGTGGACTGTTTATACTAATGCAAATTTAAGCACGATATTCCATCGCTTGATCGAACAAGGACTCATTGCGGAATGTTTTTGAAGTGTAATCAATGCCTAACTGCGCATCCTTAAGTTGCTTATGACAGGTAATTTGTTTACCGAACTTGGTAAAGAAAATCAGCATCGATCAATTCTAAATAATGGTAATAAAAGTTGAATAAAGAACACGAAGGATTTTGTTTACGAAATATTTAATAGGTTAGTAAGTGTTGACGTCGTATATATGACGACGTTATTTTTATTGTTATAATCGACGTGGGGATTGTGAGAATATGCGCGAAATGCCTACCTGTGCATAAAATGTACTTTGTCCGACATTGCGAAGGTCGGATTCTATTGAGGGAGTCATCTTTATTTAAATACGGGTACATATTTTTAAAGCTTGTACATTTTATCATCATCCTTAAACATGCTGTATATAATGTTGATATCTCATATAAATAATAAATGACTCGTGGTCGTTGTTTATCGTACAATAAACCACTGCGGCGAGAATAGACCAGTCGGGACTCCCACTCGTAGTGTATTTCTTAGATATAAGACAGCTACGCGATAAATTTCATATAAGATATAAAAAGGGCTGTCATCATGTAGCTGGAATACTGCTGAGTGTGACGTTAGACAACAAACACATCAGGGGTATAGTACGAATCGTTTTGAAATGAGCTATGCAAATACACCATGGGTTGCACGGTCTGGTGCTCATTGCACTATCACCCTGACAACGACGTGACATTGCACCGAGCACAGATGAGGCCGGTTTTGATACCCTGTGCCATTTTCTTCTTTTCATTTGTTATTGGCGAGACTAGATCACTCACATCTTGGATTAACCGGTTAATTACCCGTTATGTTTCCCATCACTCGATGTTGCTTTCCTATGAGGCGAGGGTTCAAAGTCGCATCAAATTTATTGCATGTATATAGCGACGTGTGTAACAGCAATATTCCAGCTATGTGACGGCGGTCTATAAATAATTGAGTCTTGTCCCGACAATCCAGTGATTGACATCATGAGCATCGATCCACGCAATTGGAATATGATGACATGCATCAGCTAAGTCAGCGAGCCTGATCACCCCATCCCGTCAGTCGCCCCTTACGAAGAGCATCGTCGCCTTTTACGACAAGCATGGGTTGCTGAAGAACTATTCTAACGGATCTTCATGGGTGTGTATGCTTGTATACTATATGGCTGGACTGATGTCGGTTTTATAGCGCTAGCCCATTGAGATACCATGCCGCACGCATGCAGTAACAGGCGCCTATACCTGCATGATCGGGTGGTCTGACTTTGATGAGTGTGAATGTGTCCGGTAATAAGTAATAAGGACAGGTGTCGCTGCGACCGATAATATAATACAAATATATGTTTATGTTTATATTTGTTTGTTGTTTAACGCCGCAATATTCCAGCTATAGGACGGAGGTATGTAAATAATCGAGTCTGGAACAGACAATCCAGTGATTGACATCATGAGCATCGATCCACACAATTGGGATACGACATGCATTAACCAATATAAAAATACACGTTTCCATATTAATCAAAACAAAAAAATATCCAAACCATAATCAGATTGTCAAATTTACTTTACCACCGACCCTTGAAGTGACCGTGACAGCCGATAGGGCTCTTTCCCAAATTCGTTTAATTTTCGCATGTTATTTATACTAGTTACAAAAAGTTAAGGACACCTGATTCTTTCATATTACTGTAGTTAATCTGGCATGCCATTGAATCAATTCAACGAAATACACCGTCAGCACAAAAAGGGCAAGTCAGAGACACAGCCAGAATAAATATCAGCAAAGCCTTAACTATCATTTTCTTTACGTGACTGTGCTTTGCCTGCATCGTCTTGACACTTTTAGCTACTACCGAATGTATATACATATACGAAGTGCATTGTGTTTAAGGGTATATAAGCCGAAGCTGGTACTGATCAAAAAGCGGATTGTGTGCGTTACTATAAATAGGTAAGAAACTCCACTACGTGCAGAAAGGAAGGTAAACCGTGCGTGCCTGCAGTCACTAATGCACTAATGCTGGCAAATACTAGATTAAATATACAAATACTGACATGTATGTTAGGTAGAGGGGTTATGTGTATGGGGTGGCAGGATTTTGTGTGAAGTGTGGGATATGGATCACCTTGACCACTGCCAGTACCGCGTTAACTGGATGTTTTGAATAACGTTCGTGTAGTATACTTTCTTACTCAAAAGAAGTTAAGGATCACGATTCTTTCATATTGGTAATGTTAATCTGTCATGGCATGAGAGATTAACTATTGTAATATGAAAGAATCAGGTGATCCTTAACTTCTTTTGAATAGTATATTTCAGGTCTCTCTCTCTCTCTCTCTCTCTCTCTCTCTCTCTCTCTCTCTCTCTCTCTCACACACACACACACACACACACACACACACACATCTAGAAAGTTCCTACCTCTGACAAGCACCCGGTACTCGTGTCGTCGTTCAAAAGCAATGTATCTTACTTCCGTATGTAGCCGCTGATGGACTCCTGGGTGTGGTCGACCTGTCAACATATACCGATTAGATATTTACACCTGTTCCCGAACATACTACCTGTACACGTTGTGGCAGAAAGTGTGCAGACATACACTGCAGGTTCATGCAGTTGCGAAATGTCACGAGTGACTTTATGTATTGAATGTCGGTGTAGTGTTGTTTATTTTTTAACAAGACTACCCGACAAAGGTATTTGTGTATAAATAAGTCTATTCTCATTGTGGGGTTTCCGTTTCGAGTCAGAACAGATTACCTATAGTCTGCTGACGGAGTATCTATATAGGACACTGTGCAGTTGCAGTCGGCACAGACAGGGGTCAGGGGTTATCTTGTCGCGTCAATCAAATAAACATTGATTGGAAACGACTGTCCACACAAAAATACCTTCAACTTAAATAACTAAAACACTAATTATTGGTCAGAAATAGCATCAAACATAGTTTCTCTTACAAACCTCAGAGCATATATATAATAAAGGAATGTCTCTGTTCCCCTCTCATCCCCTTCTTAGCTCTACAGCAGCTACATTCATCACCGTCTTAGCTCTATAACAGCTATACTCATCGCCTTCTTAGCTCTACAGCAGCTACATTCATCACCGTCTTAGCTCTATAACAGCTATACTCGTCGCCTTCTTAGCTCTACAGCAGCTACATTCATCACCGTCTTAGCTCTATAACAGCTATACTCGTCGCCTTCTTAGCTCTACAGCAGCTACATTCATCACCGTCTTAGCTCTATAACAGCTATACTCGTCGCCTTCTTAGCTCTACAGCAGCTACATTCATCACCGTCTTAGCTCTATAACAGCTATACTCGTCGCCTTCTTAGCTCTACAGCAGCTACATTCATCACCGTCTTAGCTCTATAACAGCTATACTCGTCGCCTTCTTAGCTCTACAGCAGCTACATTCATCACCGTCTTAGCTCTATAACAGCTATACTCGTCGCCTTCTTAGCTCTATAACAGCTATACTCGTCGCCTTCTTAGCTCTACAGCAGCTACATTCATCACCGTCTTAGCTCTATAACAGCTATACTCGTCGCCTTCTTAGCTCTACAGCAGCTACATTCATCACCGTCTTAGCTCTATAACAGCTATACTCGTCGCCTTCTTAGCTCTATAGCAGCTATACACATCGCCTTCTTAGCTCTACAGCAGCTACATTCATCACCGTCTTAGCTCTATAACAGCTATACTCGTCGCCTTCTTAGCTCTATAGCAGCTATACACATCCCCTTCTTAGCTCTACAGCAGCTACATTCATCACCGTCTTAGCTCTATAACAGCTATACTCGTCGCCTTCTTAGCTCTATAGCAGCTATACACATCCCCTTCTTAGCTCTACAGCAGCTACATTCATCACCGTCTTAGCTCTATAACAGCTATACTCGTCGCCTTCTTAGCTCTATAGCAGCTATACACATCCCCTTCTTAGCTCTACAGCAGCTACATTCATCATCGTCTTAGCTCTATAACAGCTATACTAGTCGCCTTCTTAGCTCTGTAGCAGCTATACTCACCCCCTTCTCAGCTTTATAGCAGCCATACTCATCCCCGTCTTAGCGTTATAGCAGCTATACTCAAACCCTTCCTAGCGTTATAGCAGCTATATTCATCACCGTCCTAGCTCTATAACAACTATACTCATCGCCTTCTCAGCTCTATAGCAGCTATACTCATCCCCGCCTTAGCGTTATAGCAGCTATACTCAACCCATTAGCTCTATAGCAGCTATACCCATCGCCTTCTTAGCTCTATATATAGCAGCTTTACTCATCGCCTTCTTAGCTCTATATATAGCAGCTATACTCATCCCATTAGCTCTATAGCAGCTATACTCATCCCCTTCTTAGCATTATAACAACTATACTCATCCCCTTCTTAACTCAATACCAGCTATACTCATCCCCTTCTAAGCTCTATAGAAGCTATACTCATCCCCTTCTTAGCATAATAACAGCTATACTCATCCCCTTCTTAGCTCTATAGCAGCTATACACATCCCCTTCTTAGCGTTATAGCAGCTATATTCATCACCGTCTTAGCTCTCCTTAACAGCTATACTAATCGCCTTCTTAGCTCTATAGCTATACTCACCCCTTCTTAGCTCTATAGCAGCTATACCTATCCCCCTCTTAGCTCTATAGCAGCTATACCTATCCCCCTCTTAGCTCTATAGCAGCTATACTCAGCCCCTTCTTAGCGTTGTAGCAGCTATACTCATCGCCTTCTTAGCTCTATAACAGCTATACTCAACCCCTTCTTAGCTCCATGTCAGCTATACTCAACCCCTTAGCTCTGTAGCAGCTATGCCCACCATCACCTTCTTAGCTCTATAACAGCTATATTCATCGCCTTCTTGGCTCTATAGCAGCTATACTCATCGCCTTCTTAGCTCTATAGCAGCTATACCCATCGCCTTCTTAGCTCTATAGCAGCTATACTCAACCTCTTCTTAGCTCTATAGCTATACTCACCCCTTCTTAGCTCTATAGCAGCTATACTCAACCTCTTCTTAGCTCTATAGCAGCTATACCCATCGCCTTCTAAGCTCTATAGCAGCTATACTCATCGCCTTCTTAGCTCTATAGCAGCTATACTCATCCCCTTCTTAGCTCTATAGCAGCTATACTCATCGCCTTGGCTCTATAGCAGCTATACTCATCGGCTCCTTAGCTCTATAGCAGCTATACCCGTCGCCTTCTTAGCTCTATAGCAGCTATACTCAACCCCTTCTTAGCTCTATAGCAGCTATACTCATCGCCTTCTTAGCTCTATAGCAGCTATACTCATTACCTTGGCTCTATAGCAGCTATACTCATCACCTTGGCTCTATAGCAGCTATACTCAACCCCTTCTTAGCTCTATAGCAGCTATACTCAACCCCTTCTTAGCTCTATAGCAGCTATACTCATCACCTTGGCTCTATAGCAGCTATACTCATCGGCTCCTTAGCTCTATAGCAGCTATACTCCCCCCCCTTCTTAGCTGAAAGTAATAGATTGAGGATTCCTCTAGTCATAGGTTCCCCTGATTGTACATAATTTTATTTCATGGACTATTTGTTAATCTACATCAAACACATCGTGTCGGATTTTTTTTATTTACGCGAACATAGGAGGAGGCTGATATGTAATTTGGGACCAGTAACGTGACATACATTTTACTGTTTGGCTTGTATTAACTTCATGTATTCGTTGACTGATGATAGTAACACTGCAATACAATCACCATTTGTTAACATTGTTGTACACCTGCAGGCAACTAAAATTTGTTAAATAAAAATTAAAAACAAAAAAACACTGCAATATAATACACCTAAAACAGTGTCTCGTTTGTTTGTTTGTTTGCTTGCTTGTTGCTTAACGCCGCACTCAGCAATATTCCAGCTATATTATATGATGGCGGTCTGAAAATAATCGAGTTTGCGCCAGACAATCCAGTGACTGGCACCATGAGCATCGATCTACGCAATTGGGAAACGATAACATGCATCAACCAAAACAGCAAGCCTGACCACCCGATCCCGTTAGTCGCCCCTTACGACAAGCGTAGTTGCCTTTTAAGACAAGCATTGGTTGCTGAAGACCAATTCTAATCCTGGATCTTCACGGGTGAGTCTTGTTTGAGTTTTAGGGTATACCAAACTTTAGAGCTGTATCACTCCGCACATATTGCGGAAGTAACTTGATGTCCTTAAATATACCTTACCTATTAAAAAATTAATTTAAAATTGCCAATGAATAATCCAAGTAAGATGAGTAAAAGCTGTTTTGTTTGGCACTGAAATTTGAATATATAAGTATTACAGCAACAAAGGTAATAGCTTTTTTAGCATTTCCGGTTTGATTTTATTGTGACACATATATAATGGTTGATATTTTGCAATTAATGTAATATTAAGAAATTACTGACATAAATGGAGACAGTACACCATGAACGAAGATGCACATGAGTGACAACATAAAAAACACGTGAGGTGTTTTCTTCTGGTATATATTATGGTTGTATACTCATGTAAGCAAACAATATAAAATGGGAGATTCACTAATACCCGTCAACATGATGCGACAAGACTGTCACAAGAGTGACCTCAAAATTAGATACAGCAGTATCAGTATCAGTATCACTAAAAGGTCTTTTGATTGCATTTCATACCGCTCTTTTGAGGTGTATAGAATCAGAGTAAGAGATTAAACTGATTGGGCGGTCAACGCAGCTGTCAGGGCATGGGAGGACGTTCCGAAGTGAAGTCTTGTACATTTTCCACTTCTGACATGGGACAGACAAATCAAGAAACAGAATCAGAGTGAACCGCGATTTGAACCACGAGCATAGGTGTCTGGCACGCAACTCTGCACAGCAAATTGCTACGAATTAGACGACCTCAGACCACATTTGACTCGATATTGTGCAAATGTGTTGACACTGGGGCACGGATGGCCCTTGGACAGGGCAGAAACCTATGATTGTGGGTTCGAATCCCGGTTTGCCCCGATTATGTTTCTAGGTTTGTCAGCACCATACCCGTGCTCGTGGGTTTCACCGAAGAGGTAAACGGCTGAGACCTGCATCACTTCGGGCTTTCCTCCCACATTAAGCTGACACGCCGTGATATAACTGGAATACTGTTAAAAGCGGCGTTAAACGCAAGGCGATTGACGGGATCACCAACAGCTGCTTCCTTCTGGCCGCCGACTACGTTGCCCATGTTGAGAACAGGACCCGGAATTCATTGATACCATCTAGTTCCAGGTTATATAATAAAGTTTTGTGACAAATAACTGTTGAGCATTTATTCGCTAACTAGTACCACATTTAATGTTAATCACATTTGTCGTGTTCTTATTTTTTTGTTTATGTGTTTATCATTAAGCTGAGACCTTGCGCTGATGTAACCCTTCTCGATAACAAAGCGTTATCTCATGTTATCATTAACATTAGCTTTCCTGACGTACCACGACAGCCAATGGTGGAATATTTTGCTCACCACGTAGGTTGAAAAATGCTCGTGACACAATTACATTTCAAGGTTGCAATCTAACTCGTAGCACAGTTCATCCACCGATGGATGAGTTTGACTTCCACGAGAGGAGCATTTGGCAGATCATTGCCTATGGTGTTGACAACACAACTGAGTCAGATTAACACAGCTTTGAATGTTATTTCAGCTATAGCACGGTCTTTCGGCTTGATGTGGGAGGAAAGCCCGAAGTGATGCAAACCAACGAACACATGGTTCTGTTTTAAGAACTGGGCTCCCTCCCTCAAACCTGGGTGATCATTTGTAGGTGTCGGCAAACAACCAACATTTTTTTTATAAACCTGTATTGAACATGTCCTTATTTTGTGTCCGGGACTTAATTATTCAAATTGAGGAGTTGAGGCAGCTTTGAACTGGCAGGAACACCCAAAGCCACCCTTGTCTGAGCACGTGTTCTCTACCTCAGTGGAACCAGATACCATACATAAATGGTGAAACCGATTAGTTAAGAGTCAGTACATTCTGTAACTAAGGCACACAAGTCAAACATCAATTTTCAGTGGTTTAGACCCATGAAGATCTGTGTCAGAATTAGTCTTCAGGAACCCATGCTTGTCCTGAGAGGCAACTAACAGGATGGGTGGTCAGTCTCGCTTATTTGGTTGATGCATGTCATGGTATCCCAATTGTTGTGTAAGGCATGACCTTCTACATGTTATGGCACAACTTTGCACCGCGTTTGGAGAAGACAAACCTAAAAACAATCAGGATTTGATCCCAGGATCATAGCCTCTTGACACCTTGGGTACATCTTCCAGAGGCAATGGAGTTAAAAGGCCACGATGCTTGTCGTAAGAGGCGACTAACAGTATCGTGTGATTGATGCATGTCATCGTATCCCAGTTGCGTCCATAGATGCTGATGACATCAATCACTTGATTGTCTGGTCAAGACTCGATTATTTACAGACTGCCGGCATGTAGCTGGAATAATGCTTAGTGCCACATTAAACAAACAAACAAACGAGTTAACTGGCTGTAAAAGTCCAGTTTCCACGTGAAAACTCGACTGTTACAGACGGTTAATTCCCTTCCTTTGCGAAGAAGCACAAGGGACAAAACTCCGCACAGCTTTCAACATGTTAATGTAAAATGTTGCAATGGAACAAAATTGGCAGTAACTCAAAGTTTGTAATACCTCAGAGACTGGTCTTGGAGTTGGAAGGACTTGGATAAATGTATTGTATCACTCATAATCATCTTTTCTTCGAGTATTAATATATATAACCTCCGGCCATCTTCAGCAATTCATCCCCTGTGGACACTGGTTAGAATAGTGCCAAAGCACTCCATTGCTCATTTAAATAGTAAGGCTTGGTGACTGAGGACTGGTGTCAGTTGTAATAATGTTGCCATAAATAAGAGTCATCAGAAGATGAAAGATCGCCCTGACCTGAGCTCTGTGTGTGCAGTTTCATGAAAGAATACCCGTTAGTTTTAGAGATATGGTCCAGACACAAAATTGTTACAGATGAACGGACCGACAAGCTGATTACTATAAAACCACAAGGGTATCTTAATTCTGCTTGAAATGCACAAAATATATATAAAAATGAAAATTCGTAAAATTTGAACAAGAGAGACACCAGCCAAAATAGTCCAAGGTTGTGAAGGTGAAATTGGGTTTAACGTCGCGTCCAAGATTATTGCACTTATATAGCGACGTTCCAAGGTTGTGACATTCCTACATGCTAATAAGATCAGATTAAGTGTGGATAGGGTAGTGACATGTGACCTGGTTAATTGAGTGCCATTATACCCAAAGATTGTGATTGTTGCTCACACCAACAACCACTGGTTTGACTGGGCCAAACGACATTCACTCACTTGAGCATGAGTAGACAAATCAAGATCGCTGAACTGAATGTAATACCTTCATTAATACATTAAAATACCCATGTTAGAAACTGAACTGGGAATTCAGAGCAAACTCCCAAGCATTAACCACAAAGCTACCACCATGGTGGCACCCATCCCTAATCCCATAGGAAGCAAAAAGGACAAATAATGTATGCAGGAACATTTATTTTGACAAATACATTGATATGATTACATCACATGTGAGGGAAAGAAAAACAAAGAGTGATTAATGGATACCTTCCAGACAGTATTCAACCCTTGATGACACTGATGAGTATGAAATCAAGTTTAACATACCTGAAGTATTGTTAATATGAATGATTCTCATGACCCTGATGAATGACACACACCAAAAGGTAGTTCCTTCAAGCACTTTGTGCTCTTTACAAAAAAATAACTTTGATAAATGTATGCTCAGTGAAACCTTAAGTACAACACATGTGCTTTTCTTAAAGTTCATGTACAGGAAAACTACAACTCAACATCTAATATATAATCACGTAGTTTTGTCATACATATACACTAAAATCATCTTCTAAAATTTGTGTGTCTTATTTAAGCTAAACGACAACAATGCTCATGAAAACAAGTTTAAGGAAGTAGTACATATAATATCAAAACAAGCAATAAGAAACTCATAACTATTTCAAATCGACATGCGGGATATCACAATTTGTTTAAATCACCATGTGATGTCTCAATTTCAGGTATTTCTTGCAAAAAAAGTGGATCCAATTTTGTCCATTCTACTTCAAATGTAAATTGTGGTTCAGTTGGCAGACCTAACATCTCAGTGGTTAAAACACTGCTTTGTCTGCTAGCTCAAACCATAAGATGTGTATCAGTCTAACATTTAATGAATAATACTGAAATAATGTTGTAATTTCACAATTACATTGTCTAGCCCTAGATTGAAGCACACATGATGATGATGCATGGACACATCGCAGAATGACACAGAATGAGAGCATAAAATTATCACGATTTCCACAAGGAATTTTTGAAGTATAAGATTCAAGTGAACAGTATGTGGTTGCTCAATGAATACAACACAGGATTCATAGCTGTCTCCTGTATATTTCAACATGCAAATGTTGGCTTGGTGGAAGTAGAATTCCACTCTCATCACACAAAAAGTGATTGTCCATGTTAGCACTATCCATATTACTGTGCACGTCACTGCAAAGAATCTTCATCTGGTCAACTGAATACTCTATTTCCTGAAACAAGGAAAAATGGCATAAATGAGTTGTTGCTGTGCATGTGTCTCAAACATTAAGTTTTTCATCCTCCATTGACCATCCAAACCTATCGGGGAGCTTTATTTCAATTTGATATTCAATACGAAAGTAGTTAACAGTCTACGAAAGTAGTTAACAGTCTACGAAAACTAAACATTTAAGCCTTAAAAAGTGAATGTCTTTTTTCATTGACAAAGTGATGATCACATCATAGATTTTTTTCTCAACCACTGGTTTCCTGTGCTGACAAGAATTGTCCCTGTGACAGCTGTAATTACTGCTGATGTGCCATGAAACAGTATTTACTTACGCTAACAACAACACTGTCTCATAGAGCCTGTGATGAACATTTTCAGATAGGCACAGGAAACTGAAGCCCAGTTTTCCAACATTTTACAAACCTTTTCATTCCTGGCAGGAGTCTTGTAGGCAAAAGAACCATCTTTGGTTGGAACCTTCCAGCTGCCTGCATCATCTGCTGCTGCATCCTCTGCTGCTGCATCATGTCCTGCTGACCTTGACCTCGCTGCTGATTCTGTTGACGCTTCTGATTCTGTTGGCGTTGCTGATTCTGGGGACGTAGTTGATTCTGGGGACGCTGCTGATTCTGGGGACGCTGCTGATTCTGTTGGCGCTGCTGATTCTGTGGACGCTGCTGATTCTGCTGGCGCTGCTGATTCTGGGGACGCTGCTGATTCTGTGGGCGCTGCTGGTTTTGTGTCCTCGGGTTATAATTCTGTTGTTGCTGGAGACCTTTCTTCAGGATACCTGGCCTTGCACCAGTGTTTTGCATCATACTAGTTGAGTTGTTCCAGCTACTTGAAGAAGAATAATTCAAGGTTTGCTTTTAGTGGAACAACTAAAGGCTTTATGAGTTTCACAATTAATCATATTCCTCTTCTGATAATGCAGCCTGACATGAGGAAAACATTTTCTGAATAGCAAAAGTTTAGGATAATGCTTAGGGACCTTGTTCTTAAGACTAAGATACCAAGTTACAGTGATTTTTCCAGAGACAACTGGAATCGGGTTATTGCAGATCATTTCAATGAATTGTTCAAATTTTGAATAGGACTTACCACTAATTTTGAAAATACTTTTCAGGAGAGTTTTCTTAATCAGTAAATGTGGTTGTCATTATTATTATTATTCAAGGTATTAGAAAGTGAACCATTCCCAAAAGACATGCATATCCCAAATATCTGGTTGTTTAACAGTCACCACCGGTACCTGCTAGATATTAAAAAAAGCATGCTCCATAAGAGGGAGAGGGCCACTTCAGTTAGATAACTTTTTCCCAATTCCAATTACCATTTGAGTCAATAAAATATTTTGTAAAACAAACCGTGAAAGAGGGCTGATAAAAGATTTTTGGAGTTTAGAATTCTGGAATTCTAATAACTTGCTTTAGATCAAAACATGGATCAAATGAGGTAGCATGGAATAACAATAACATTAAATAAACATAGTCACTACAGCACGAGCAGTCAAGGTCGGTAAGGCAGAGTGACTTTACCCTCATGAGATATACAGAGCAATCACTTAGGGTGAGTGTTTGTTTGTTGTTTAACGCTGCACTCAGCAATATTCCGGCTATATGACGGCGGCATTATCGATATATCTATGTCAATTCTGTATCGATACCAATTTATGAATGTCGATACAATACAATGTTGTTCCATACTCTTAGTGGCTAACAGTAAGATCCAAATGTCACCTTTCCTTCTCTGAATGGCTTAAGTTGTAAAAACATAATTATTTATTAATATATTGTCAACTTATTTATTCAACCAATGTGTTTACAACTTATTTTTGTAACCATGATTGCCAAATCCAAGCCCTGCAAATTTTAAGGCCTTGCCAAGATATATTCAAATTTAGGGCCCTCATGTTCACAAGGCTGGACTGCCAAATTCAAGCATGTGCAACATATAGGTGAGGTGAAATGGGGTTTAACGTTGCGTCCAAGATTATTGCACTTATAAAGCGACGTGCATGTATGTGTGTGTGTTTGTGTGGCTGCTTGTACTAATCCAGACTGATGCCGATTTATAGAGCTAGCTCACTGAGATACCATGCCGCAGTTTAACATGAATACCCCACTCAGACACAGTATACTGACTCCGAGCCGACCAGTCCTTGTTTTAGCCCCTTAATGCCGAGCGCCAGACAGGGTAACAACAAGTACCATCTTTTAACGTCTTTTGGTATGACGCGGTCGGGGATCGAACCCCGGACCTTCCGCTCTCCGGGCGGACGCTCTACCACTAGACCGCGGAGGCGGTCTGTGCAACATATAGACATGCATAACTTGACGATATAGTTATTCCTTTGCACAATTCCTATATAGTCCTTGCCAAACTGCTCAATAGTTAATGTATCATAAAGTATTGGTAAAAGGTGCCATTTTGAAGGATGTTATCATAATAAGTACTAGTGGTATAAAATGTTTAGTTTCTATCACTGCTCTGTGACCATACTGACCTGTCTGTTCGGTTCTGTTCGTACATGTCATCCCCCTGTGACATGTGTCCGTGGTCATAGTCGTGAACCTTGAACCCATCTGTAGCACCAATGTCACCTTGCTGGTTCATCCCAGCACCCCAGGTCTGATTCCTGAACAAATCATTGATTTCTCCATCATTAAACCTACCATAACTGGATGTGCTGAGTGTAGTATAGTGAGTGAGTGAGTGAGTGAGTGAGTGAGTGAGTGAGTGAGTGAGTGAGTGAGTGAGTTGGGTTTAACGCCGCTTTTAACAGTATTCTAGTTATATCACAGCGTGTAAGTCTTATGGGGGAGGAAAGCCCAGTGATGCAGGTCTCAGACGTTTACCACTTTGGTGAAACCCACAACACGGGTATGGTGCTGACAAACCTAGAAACATAATCGGGGCGAACCGGGATTCGAACCCACAATCATAGGTTTCTGGCGTGCCCAACTGACGCAACTCTGCACAGCGAATCACGGCGCCTTAGACGACTGGGCCACCCATGCCCCCTGAGTGTAGTATAATACATCATACTTCAACATAAGTAATGGAGAGATAGACATACTGAATACCATCCTATACCCCAAGATCCACCAAGTTAAAGAGAATATGAAAAATGACATTAATCAGTATCATTCATGTATACAACATGTACAAGTTTCCCTGAGATTAATAAACATAATATTTTAGAAGAACATGTATCAAACTTCAAAAAGCAATCTCATACGTCATCAGGCTTTTGATCATGCTCATGTGTTTACATTCAATTTTATTGTCACCTTCAAATTAATCTAAAAGGAATATAAGCAATCACAGGTTTCATAATTGAGTCCTTGTTTGGACACTGAAGCCAGGTAAACACTGATGCAATCAAGTAACAAAGACAACAATACTGCCAACCTCACAAGTATTCAGACTGGGAATAGGTCAACCATGTCATGGTGAATGAGTCAAGTGAGTTTGGTAAAAATGCCACAGTAAAAATGTACTGGAGTTACATAAAGCCCAAACTGAGGCAGGGCTTAGACGTTGACCAGTTTACTGTTTGTTAGCACATGTATGTGCTGACAAACCAAGAAATCAGGGTGAATCGAAATAAAAACCAACAAACACGTTTCCTGCACACAAAGGGATGCATCTCTGCACATGTCTAACACATGTAAATGTACACTTTGTCAGACTGACACTATAGTGATGCAGGTCTTCAAAGTTTACCACTTTGGTGAAATCCACAAGCACAGATGTGGGGCAAGGAACAAGGATTTGAATCCAAGATCATGGTATCTGGCATGCCCAAGGGACACAACTCAGCATAGCAGATCGTGGCACCTTTGACAACAGGCCACTCATGCCCCAAACTACTGAGGATTCAGGGCATTTACACAGCAGATTTTGTTTTACAGTGTAAACACTGTAGTTATGGTAGTAGGGCTAGTTAAACCTGTACTTACTGCTGTCTTTTGCCATTATAACCCAGCTGTTCAGATACTCCTGTTTCTTTTCTCGACCTACAACATAACTTCCTGAGTAAAATAGCTTCAAAATCCTTTTCATATTCTTAAACAAAAATAAGGTGGTCACAATGTGTTGACTTGGCTAATTGTGTCCTGAATACCAAACATGCCAAAGGCTGGATTGTTGAAAATCAACAACCTGTTTGTCCATTCGCCCCAAACACTCTGCCAGCCAGAGTCACTGGCCATCATTTTCATTAGATTTTAAGCATACCGTATATGACCGCGTATAAGCCGAATTTTGAGGACCAGAAAAAAGATTCTGTAGAAAGGGGTCGGCTTTTCCACGGGATACACTTTCATGATAGTATTTTTCAGATCGTGATCTGTCAGAAACATCGCCTGAATGACGGTCCGATAGATTACAACTTCCCGAAAGTTTGGAAGTTGCCACGACTAGAGCCATTATTGTTATAAATTATCAATAAAGTTATTATTATACACCAATGTTGTCATTATTAAAAAAATGTTATGCATGTTACTACTTCCGATAATAAGTTTTCAATTGAATGTTCAAAGTTTATCGTTCTTCGTAAACTCCACAATCTTTACATGTAACAATATATGTAATTCACAGCTATAATATATAATCCCCAGATAAAATCGCCAATAGCTATTACGTAAGTTTTGCAAAGTTCATAAATTGATAGTAAACAAGTGTCTACCTTTATTGAAAGAGGCAAATAAACAACTGTATCGGCGAGTTATTCCGTTCGCCATTTGCAAAAACATGTGATCAGCTGTTTCCTGTGACGTCACAAACGGTGACCACTGTGATTGCTTCCTGTTGTTTAAAGCAACACGGTACACAAGGAAATGAGCATTGATAATAACGGGCCGATTGGTATTGTCAGGTTGTTTACACAAACATTTTCAAGTTGTGGGTGCTTAGCGATCGTGTTGGGAGTAGGGGCTTAATTCCTTTGTTTTCGAGAGATTAGTTTAATAAACTGGAAAAGCCTGTGAGTAAGTGATGGTCATTCAATGTGTTCATAGTATGATAGTTTATTTATTTCAATTGGATTAACATACAATAGTGGTGTAAAGGGGGTTATAAAAGTTGGTATATTTTTACTGACTGACGTTTTCATCATGAGTTTTAAACGAAAACGCCATGCTTACGATGCTGAATTCAAACTGCGAGTCTTCGCTCCAGCTGATATATTTTCTCACGGGTCCATAATTCTATATACAACGACTCACAAAATGGCGCTTGGTTGTTGATGGCAACATATAACGATCATTATGAGATTAAAAAACCCCACGAGAAACAGCTTCCCACATTATGAAAGTGGATGACTGGTTTGTTAAATCTTTATTCGAAATAATAATGACTTTTTCAATATAATTACAACGTTTTTCATCTTATATTTTTTAATATCTGCGAGTACCGGCACATGTCTTTCAGTCCGACTTCGCAGTGTTTTTTGTCTTTCAATTCCTGATTCGGCTTATCTGCGGGTCATATCATTTTCTTTCGTATTTCAATGGTCAAATTAACACCTCGGCTTATCTACGGGGTCGGCTTATCCGCGGTCATATACGGTAAACATATTGCATTCCTGTGCATACTAGACCAAACAAATCTTATAAGACTTAGGCTTCTGACTAGAGCTTGTTGTGGCCATGAATCGAAGTACTAGCCAAAGAGCCACCATGGCCTCCAGATAACCACTCTATTCATCAACAAAATGCTTTGGCATACACAGATCCAGAGAGTATGTTTCACTGTTGGACGAAGCATACAAAACACTTATGCTCCAAAGATCAATCGTATTCATGAAGCATTTGTATGTGATCATCCCTTCTTTTCCATAAAGTTGTATCAGCAGTTCGTTGGGAGCCGAGCCTATTCTAATTAAGAATCATTATCTATTGCAAGGTGTTGGGACTAATTTCTCTTACCAATCCATGTCCTGAATCTGGTAATTGTCCTCTCTGATATCTGATATTCTCTCCTGCAACACAACCAGTTCCATGTGTTATAGAGTATCAATAGCAAAAACAGCAAAAACTGCAACAACAGACAGACTGAATCAAACTGACGGAGGTGCTTAAGGCAGAAAAAACATGTTCCTCATTATGAATAATACGCATACAAGTATAAACTTCACACCCAAAAGCAGAATAATTAAAGCAGTGAGTGAGTTTGGTTTAACGCCGCTTTTAACAGTATTCCAGTTATACCAAGGCGTGTCAGCTTAATGTGGGAGGAAAGCCCGAAGTGATGCAGGTCTAAGACGTTTACCACATCAGTGAAACCCACGAGCACAGGAATGATGCTGACAAACCTAGAAACATAATAGGAACGAACCGAGATTCGAACCCACCATCATATGTTTCTGGCATGTCCAAGGGACACAACTCTGCACAGTGAATTGCTGTGCCTTAGACAACTGGGCCACACGTGTCCCCAATCATTCTAGAAAACATTATATTTATGCTAGTGTGCTTAATGTTAATGATATCAGATGATTTCGAAATGGAAATCATACTAGTGCCCTTGTAGGTGATCATTCTTGCATCATAATTCCAATGCCTTAGATGACAGGGCCAACTGTGCACACACAAGAAATTATCAATAATGTCATGTCTTATTTCATGACTGTATCCAATCCACAACACACATATAAATCTCATAACTACCTGATCCATTCTTTGTCGTTTCTCATTGATATTAACTTCACCCATCCCACGACCTGGACGCTTCATTCCTGAATTAAACAAAGATTAAAAATAAACAAATCATTGATTTCAGTCCTTCAAACAAAGGTGTGTGCATGGTTGTTGTTTAATGCAATATCCCAGCTTTATGATGGGCTGAAAGTAATCGATGTCTGGACCAGACAGTCTATTGCTCAATAATAGCAATGATTGATGGCGTGAGGGTAGGTTGACACGCCATCAACCAAGTCCCCAAACCTGATACATTGAGTTGCAATTACAACCAGTATGGAGACCAATTCTAACCCAGAATCCCTGGGTTCCTAACATAGTCACTTCCTTCAATTAGCAATGGTGCTATTGTGTCACCATTAAAACACAGGACCACAGAACAAGCACAAGGTTGTCTCAAAGTCAACTCTCCTTAAAGACTAACTAAAGTATCTGGTACGCAGATACAAACACTGAATTTATCTTGCCAACATAGTTGAGACATATTTGCAGGGCCTCATTTTCAAATCACATGCAATCCAACTGCAATTATTTACCTTGTAAACCAATACACACAATGTGATGCAAAAGGCATCTCATGAACTCCACTGGTCAAACAGCAACTGAGCTAAAAGGATATTTGAAATGCCATGCTTGCCAACACCTTTCACTATGGAAATTGTGAAGACAACACAACTGGGATGCCATATTGAAATATATTACCTGCACCATATGCATCTTCTGTTCCTCTTCCATATGTTAAATCCTGGGAGTAGTTGGCATTCCATGTATCTCCTCGTCTCTCAGCTTCTGGCCTCCTAATGGTGATTGAGTCAGAGTTAGTTACCAGCTCTGGTGGGGTGACATTCAAGATTATTGCACTTACATAGCGATGTGCATGTGCTTGCGTGTGCATGTCTGCTTGTACTAGCCAGACTAATGCTGATTTTATAGTTTTAACCCACTGAGATACCATGCCACAGTTTAACATGAATACGCCACTCAGACACAGTATACTGACTGAACCAACCAGTCCTCCTTTCAGCCACTTAATGCCAAGTGCTGGGCAGGGAAACAACAAGTACCATCATTTAACGTCTTTTGGTATGTTTGTTTGTTTGTTTGTTTGTTGTTTAACGCTGCACTCAGCAATTTTCCAGCTACATGACGGTGGTCTGTAAATAATCAACTCTGGACCAGACAATCCAGTGACAACATGACACATCCAGGTACCAGCTCAGAAACACTGCATCAGTTTCATGTCAATGCTTCAGACAATCATGATATACATTTTGTGAAAAGGAACACGAGGTGAGAGGACAAATGAGTGGGTGTGGTTCATATCACAGCGTGTCAGCTTAATGTGGGGTAAAGCCTAAAGTGATGCAGGTATCAGATGTTTACCACTTTGGTGAAACCCACCTGAACAGATAGGGTGCTGACAACCTAGAAACAATCGGTGCAAACTGGGATTCCAACCCATGATCACAGGTTTCTGGTGTAACCAAGAAACATAAGGTGACAAGAAAAAGAAAATAGGGTGAAAATATTTCTTGTGATGGATTAAGGATTAAATTTATACCATGGCTCAAATCACTTTGCAAAATGAAATAAACACTGGTGTCTCAGACTGTGTGAAATCTGTTAACATGGTTAATTTCCTACATCATCATGTTTAAGTTTACCTCTCGTCAATCACATAGGCATCATCCGATTTCAGTTGGGTATCAGCATAGCCTCGACCCCAGTCCTGATCCCTTACTTCCTGCCTCTGTTCTTGATAGGGCATGTTCTGTCCTCGGTCGTATGTATCCTGCCCTCGGGCTGGGGAGTGGGATGATACTCTCGGCGACAAGGTAGAAGTCTCGGGACCTCTCGGAGATCTCTGAGCCCAAGCTCCAGCAGCGCGATTTGTTTCTATCCTCCCAGGCTCATTTCTCATGCCTCCAAGATTCGACAATGGTTCATTTCGGTTCAGTTGTGGCCGATTAAATCCAGAGTCCATTCCACTTCTATACTGATTTTCCTGTCCATATTTATCACCTCTTGCAGGTTCATTCTGTTGGCCATAAGAATTGTCCAGTTGAGCCCTATTACTCCTCCCCATTTCCATACTCCCTCTCTTTACGTCCACATTATTTCTTCCCATGCCATCCATACTACTTCTCATGTCTTCCATATTATTTCTGCCCATGTTGTCAAAGCTGTCTCTCCCCATACGTTCCATACTGTTTCTTCTCATGCCTTCCATATTTCTCTCCATGTCGTCTCTACCCATGTTGTCTCTACCCATGTTGTCTCTGCCCATGGTGTCTCTGCCCATGGTGTCTCTACCCATATTGTCTCTACCCATGTTGTCTCTGCCCATGTTGTCTCTACCCATGTTGTCTCTACCCATGTTGTCTCTGCCCATGGTGTCTCTGACCATGTTGTCTCTGACCATGTTGTGTCTACCCATGTTGTCTCTTCCCATAGAATCCATGCTCTCCCTGTTCAATGAAGAACCACTTCTCATTCTCTCCCTTTCCTGCTGTACCATAATGTTGGAGTTCATCTCTGGCATTATCTGAATATGAGAAGGCATGTTCTGCTGAGCGTTCTGTGCTCTAGATATTGGAACAGGCCCCAGCAGACCATCACCTGTTCCTTCCATCATTGGCATCTTGGCCTGAGCTTGAGCCTGGAATGTTGCTATGGCCATGTTGTTCTGTTGCACAGCCTGAGCTATCTGCTGTTGTCTCACCATCTGTATCTGCTGCTGTTGCTGCTGCATTGCTGCCTGCTGATAATTAAATATTACACAAATATATACAGGATGGTACGCTATATTATCGCGGTAGTTAATTTATAATGGATCATAATGGCGCATGCTTACAGACCTTTTAAATATGTCATATGCAAAATGTTTCTTGCTCTTTGTTCAACTTTTATGACACATGAATTAGGATTGATCGATGCTGATTTTCTTCACTGAGTTTGGTAAACAAAGTACCTGTCATTAGCAACTCAAGGGCGGGCAACACTATATTAGTGGAATATGTGCTTTATATCACTTCCTGTTTTGGATTATGCATCATCAGTATGCATATGACCTAGGTTGGTCAAGAGACTTCGTCCAAACAAATGGGTTCTTTTGTAAAAAGTTAACAGGGCCTGCATACCATATTTGTCCATACAAAATGGTCATTTGTAGAAATCATATACCCTGTGTTAACAAAATATTTTGTTTTTTTGATTACCAAGTGACAGTCATATTGAAATACAGAAAACAGAATTGATCACCTGGTGGCATGTTTTGTAAAAGTTCCATGGCAATAGTTACTTGACTACCATTTTGTTTCCTCCATCTGGTGCATTGCTTATGTATGACTCAGTATTTGTGACCAGCAATATTCTGGCTATATGATAGGAGCCTGTAAATAATCAAGTCTGGACCAGACAGTCAAATGATTGATCTTGGGAGCAACAATCCATGCCATCGAGGTACAAGAACTATTGAGATGCCCAGTAGGATTACGAGATGTATACTATATAGTAAGGTCGTCACTTCAACATTAAGTCAGTTGTATTACAGCTTGACCAGACATAGTGGTGGTTGATAGCATGAGGAAAGATAACCTGGGCCCAGGTCAACAAAGCGATCACATCGCTACCACATTCATAACATGACATTTTATAGAGATTTGATAGGTCATAAGACTCGTAACGCTGCAAACGCCTAGTGGATTGGGACCCTGAGTCCCCATATGCATCAGATAAATACTGAGTAAGGTTTAATTTTTTTTAAATCTTTTTCAGAAAATAGTTCTTAATTCAAATATACCGTACTATTAATGAATGAAAAACAATCAAATCTAAACTTGGAAGGAGTTACTGTTGGTAGTCAATTAAGTAGATTTCATCTATGAAAGCACCCACAAATATTTGCAGTAAAATTTGAGAACATCAACTGATGTTGATTGCTGTTTCTAAATAAATTTAAGAAGCCATCAGTTTGTAAAAGGTCTGTACTTTGCAGGTATCTTTGCATACCTGCTGTTGCTCCTGTATCTTTTGCATGGCCCTCTCTTGAATACTGCGTCTGATGACCTCATTAGGAGTAGGTCTCTTCTGATTTGGTGCGCTCTGAATGGGCCTTTTCTGCATGGACATGTTTAGACGATTCTGGTTTGTGACACTCTGATTTAAGAACTGGCGACTACGCTCGCGAATCTTTTTCGCCTGTTCCTGTCTAAGACTGATTTTCGTATCCACCTTCCTGCCAGATCGTTCAACTCTGTTTGTATTCCTGTTGATATTCCTATTGATATTCCTATTGGCATCTCTACTGTTACCATGGTCACTCCGCTGGTTTGAGTTGCTTTGGCTTCTGTGAGAACGACTGTCTGATTTGCTTCGCTCTCTTCGTGAAGGGGAATCTTTGCGACTTGAAGCAGAGGAATTGGCAGGCTTAGGCTTGGCCGTTTCTTTTTCTACAAAACATACATTATAGTCATTATCGTTACAAAGCTTTTATAACAAAAAAAACAAAAAAACACTTTAACTTATTTTACTTATTATCAGGCAGCATTTGATCTTGTTGTGAAACTGAAATGTCGTATGCAGAAAACTAATTTAATATTGTCAAAATCTTTTCATATTTGTCACAGATATATCTAGCATCCAGTCTCATGATAATATTGATCAAGGCAAATGTTCATCCAGAAAAACCCAACACAATGTTATAATGATTCCATAAGTAAATGAATGAGTGAACCATTATATTTTGCCGCAACATTCAAGCCATATCAAATCTAACTGTCAATAGTCGGGGACAGACAAACCAGTGGTTGATACTACCAGTAATGTTTCACTGTCCTGATAAAATGAAACACAAACAAACTTGAACCAAATCAGATACTGGGGACTCAACCTGGGCATCGGCTGGGGTACAGCAGCTCAATGATCATTTCAGCAAATAAGCAACAAGAAAGATTTTACAAACATTGACAGTATAGACATAAACCAACAGTTATATAGTAGGACAGAAAGGTGAGGTGAAATGGGGCTAAACATCATGTCCAAGATCATTGCACGTATATAGCCACATGCATGTGCATGCTGCACACAAGTTTGGACATATGCCTATTTTATAGTGCTAGCCATCTGAGATACCATGCTGCAGTTTAACATGTCTTCCCCTCAGACTAAGTATACTGACTCCGAGCTGGCAAGTCCTTGTTTTAGCCCCTTAATGCCGAGCACTTGGCCGGGTAACAACAATCTTTTAACATGTTTTGGTATGATGCGGACAGGGATGGAACCCCCAACCTTCCACTCTCCGGGCAGACACTCTACCACTAGCCAACAGAGGTGGTCCAGACAGTCATCTTCTGATGAAGCTTTGAGGAGTAACACAACACACCTATCAATCAGTTATTTACACACCTTTTTCTTCTTTGTCATCATTCACATCTCTGCGAAGTACAACATCATGACTGCCAAGTTTGATGCTTGCATAACACTTTTTCACAGACCTCGCCACTGCTGTGCTTGAACACTCCAATGTGGCAATTCTGAAATCAGCAAGGTTGCAGGAACATGTTCAGTCATATTAATGTCAATAATGCCCAGTATCAACATGGACAAAGGAAAAGTGATATTCATAAATTAAGAGGTATTTTGACCAAGAAAAAAGCACAACACATTCATAACATATTCAGGTGGCATCGGTCCTTAGGTCACACTTTTATATTTTTATGTTTCCACACAAGGTCGGTCGAAATAAAAATAAATACAAATAGCTACGTCAATTACTTATTATTTATATGAAAGTCATTCTGCCATGGAGTTAAAACTGCAGGTGGCCCCTTGAATCATTGATAGTGATGTTTTTCTTGCATAAGAGGGACTATATTACTAGGGGCAGACATAGTAAAAATAAATACTTTTTTGTTTCATTTTTTCTTTTCCAGCTGCTTTTCAGCATGTTCAGTAGGGGCTGGCCCGTGGAACAATACAAAAAATGTGTGGCCTTAGGTCTTTATGGTTTCAAGCGATAGTACTTTGAATCCAGGGACCCTCTAAATCTTAAACTATAAACATTGCTGTCATGACAAGAACCCCTTGTCTTTTATGCTTAATTCTGAACACTGCTGAGCATTATCTTTCATAACTAGGTTATTGTACTGCACATACATACTCCTGACTTACCTTGGTACTGAATAAGATTTCTCAAGGAATAATGTGACATTTTTTAAAGTGATTATATTTACATACAAGATCATAAATGATAATTATGTACCTAACGCAATAAACCTCACAATATTCTCGTCTTGTCATTCTACATTCTATTTTCTTACCACAGCTGACAGTTTCCTCATGTGTTTTGTAAGGTCTGTGTATCATGTGTTGTGTGTGCATGTAGGGAAACATAGTTCTCAGTTCATAGTAGATGCTGTGATAAACATTGACCAACACCATTGGAGCGTATTTCTTTTAGATGAGCTGCATTGCTCAAAAGTTGGAAAGCAATTTCTGATTAGTTGCGCAAATATATTTTCATTCATCTTCTCATTCCAAATATATCTGTGACATCTCAACACACGACACAATGGGGAAAAATGTAGATGAAATCTGCATGTCAAGACCAGCAGAAATGTGATAGCTATTAGTCTTTGAGAAATCACCTCTGCTTCTCACAACTAGATCTCTTTCTCATTCTTAGCAGAAAAATCTTTGGACGTCTGAAGGTGAGTGAATACAATCCTCTTAACTTAAACCACTTTGAGTTAAAGTCTACAGGGAAACACCCATTCAATGAGGAGCATGAGCGGTATATGATGCAACATCTGTCTCATCAAGGCCATTCAATCTCATGCATGTCTCAATCATTCTGCGAGACTTTTTGGCTAGCATGATGTATTTGTATCATGCGGACATCTTCTTTGAAGGGTGTAATCACAATTTGGACTTGATCTGCACAAAAATCTTCCCAAAATGCTCTTGATAAATGACTCCCAAGAAGTGGTTGCTTATTTTCTTCCTCAACGCCATGTTTTTTCCTTATGATGTTACATACAACGTTGCGATTAGTCCACTATGACTGTATTGCAAACCAATAACCCCTCATCTGCGCATCATGAAAAAATCACTGCACACCATGTCAATGGTAAAATAAGTTGATAGATCCTCATCAGGTCTGTTCAATGTTCATGGAAATCTCGACATTAACCAATTGCACTTATAAGATTGCATCTAAGTGTGGAACTGGTTTGGACTTTTCTGTTCAGCTATGACCACCAACATCTGATCAAAGCATGACAACTGCAGAGGTAACAGTAAATGCATCAGGGTCAGAAATTAATTTTTGCTTTCACCGCAAAGATGATCTGCTACAGAGCTGCCATCTACCTGATGGTAAAAGCGGTAATCTACAAATCAATGTCACTAGTTCCTCCTGACATTTACTAGTCACAGACTAGTGGAATCATGTTAACCCTGTGCAAGTGACAGATCATATATGCTCATCTTCTCTCTACCACACCATGCCTATCTTAGGATTCTTTCATATATGTTCATGTCCTGGTACAACAGCATTACAGTCCACAGTTTCTCATCACATTCCAACATCATTGTCACATGAACTTCACAAGTTAAGAAAGTCCATGGCCATCCGTAGCACAAATTGACAATGAGTGGATCTTGGCAAGTCATGTGCACATACATATGTGTTCATTGTGAACCAATTTAGGTGTTCATTGTATTTCCTGCACAACATCTGAAAAACATCAAATGGACCTGTTCATGTACACCATCTGATTGAGGCATCCCATTGCATAGACATTTCAGTTCACACAGGAAGGAGATACGACTGCACATGGTAGGCACATGATGGTCCTGTGTTGTTTAACCACCTTCAGCAGGGATGTCAGACAAACTGACACCCTCAGCAGCTTCTCAAGCCAAACTTTAAGGACTCTCTTCATGTTATTGAAATCAATCAGAAATAGATATTGTAACAATGCACCAGTAACCTGTCTGTAACGATACGAACACTCTGCACCATGTTACTACAGATGAACCGGTTATTGTTAGAATTCTGTTTGTATTTCAATGGTTTCTTACAGTAATTTCTTTCGTCCATCCATCCTATGAACTGGAGCGACATGAAATGTCTACCTTATACAGATAACATTTTTCAGTACCCAACTGAGTGTATGTGATCAGCATCCACACTGATCTTGCCCAACGATTGTCACCAGAGTTGAATAAGTAACTCGGAACAAACACTATTAATCGATTGGACGTTGTCCACTTCTTAAGATCTTGACATATTGGTTTCACTGGTCTAGTGCAGTTGTAAGTCAGCTGATTGTCTTCAACACTATATTCTGCAGGTTCTGATGCAGCAAGCCATATCAATTCCTACTCCTCACTTCCTGCATAGACAGATGCAAGCACTGTTGAATATGAACACTTTTCAGTTGAATCCCAATCAAAGCCATTAACCAAATGTAAGTGTAGTTTGTGTGCAAATGATAAATGATTTGAGGAAAGGAATGAGATGATTTTGAGAGATTGAGTGATGGAATGTAGGTTTTCGCCAAAAAAAACACTGGAATGTATGACTGGAAACTCCCATGTCCGAGGAGGGGATAGGCTGCAAATGGACTGCATCCTTCCTCACAGACTCCCCTACTCATAGTGACTACTTACCCAGCTCTCTCTCCAGCCTTCAATGTCTGGAACTTTACACTAAGTGTGTAGGGCACCATCACTTCAATCATCTCTCTTGATGTTCCCACTGGGACGTTACAGAGGCATAATCGTCTATTTTTAAGTTTTCCTGAAACAAAACAATCCTAGACATGATACAGCAGCTCTTCTCCCAACACTGATCTTGATAGATCATCCAGGGTGTGGGCTTGTCTAGTTGATGTAGACCATGGAATCCGTTACTGCATTCAATGGGAGTCACTCCCTTGGTTGTGTTGGAAGCAAGCAAGCATGTTTTAACTTGGAACAGCTCCTATTCATATAGCCACTTCATCACCAAGTGAATAAGGAGAGGAAATACACTCCCTGGGCAGCTCAATTATGAAGCCTTTGTCTGAACTCATCATGATAGATAAGTTCAGAAGAGTAAATATTGTCACAATCATCAGTTTGCAACACAGGATTTAACCTGAAAGAAATGTCTTGGAAAGTTTAGTTCACAGAATTAGGATAAAGTAATTTAGCACCCACACGTTGTAAGAATGTTAAAATTACATTCTTACTGTTCACCAATGGATACTTTAGACAGAACAGCTTCATGTTGCCTTGAAAACACTGCATTGTCCAACTAACTAAAGCCTCAGACACTAAATACTACTTAGACCACAAAGTACAAATGACCAAACTAACCAGATGTTTTCCCAATAAAACAATACATCAGTTCATTTCCAGGTATTATCATGAAAGATTTGTCCAAAACAAGTTTGTTTGCAAGATGCCTAATTTTTTCAAACACTTGTTAATCAATCTAGACACAGCTCACCACGTATTGGTGCCTAATTATGGATAATCTTGTCCTTGTCAACTGATTCCAGCTAATGGTGATTTGCTGATGAAGTTATAAAATCTGTGAATCAGGTTGTTGTAGTCATCATTCTGGACTTGTCAAGGACATCTTCTTGGCAATAATGTTCACTGTTGGGCACACATCTTTGCCATCTATTCACAGAATAATATATTGCTTATATTAAACACATAAATTTCCCAAATCCTATTCTTCTCTTATCGACCAGAAATAGTGTAGTTCAGGTCTTCAATCATGGCAGAAGAGAAACATGATAAATCTTCATTGCAAACCACAGATCCAGCAACAACCTTTTGCTGAGGAACAGAGCTGGAAACCTATTTCCATGTCCAGACTGATGTCGCATCAGGTGAGAACCAACAATTGATGTCCACACTGCTGGATCTTCTGTTAATGTTTCAGCCGAGGATCTACCACTGATGTCCATACGAGTGGATCTTCAATTGATGTGTCAGCTGAGGATATACCAGTGATGTCCAGACTGGCAAGATCTTCTGTTGATGTGTCAGCCAAGGATATACCACTCTTGTCGAGACGAGCAAGATCTTCTGTTGATGTTTCAGCTGTGGATCTACCACTGATGTCCATACGAGTGGATCTTCAATTGATGTGTCAGCCGAGGATATACCAGTGATGTCCAGACTGGCAAGATCTTCTGTTGATGTGTCAGCCAAGGATATACCACTCTTGTCGAGACGAGCAAGATCTTCTGTTGATGTTTCAGCTGTGGATCTACCACTGATGTCCATACGAGTGGATCTTCAATTGATGTGTCAGCCGAGGATATACCAGTGATGTCCAGACTGGCAAGATCTTCAGTTGATGTGTCAGCCGAGGATATACCACTCTTCGAGACGAGCAAGATCTTCTGTTGATGTTTCAGCTGTGGATCTACCACTGATGTCCAGACTGGCAAGATCTTCAGTAGATGTGTCAGCCGAGGATATACCACTGATGTCCACACTGGCAAGATCTTCAATTGATGTGTCAGCCGAGGATATACCACTGATGTCCAGACTGGCAAGATCTTCTGTTGTTTCAGCTGTAGATCTACCACTGATGTCCATACGAGTGGATCTTCTATTGATGTGTCAGCCGAGGATATACCAGTGATGTCCAGACTGGCAAGATCTTCAGTTGATGTTTCAGCTATGGATCTACCACTGATGTCCACACTGGCAAGATCTTCAGTTGATGTGTCAGCCGAGGATATACCACTGATGTCCACACTGGCAAGATCTTCAGTAGATGTGTCAGCCGAGGATATACCACTGATGTCCAGACTGGAAAGATCTTCAGTTGATGTTTCAGCTGTGGATCTACCACTGATGTCCACACTGGCAAGATCTTCAGTAGATGTGTCAGCCGAGGATATACCACTGATGTCCACACTGGCAAGATCTTCTGTTGATGTGTCAGCCGACGATATACCACTGATGTCCACACTGGCAAGATCTTCAGTAGATGTGTCAGCCGAGGATATACCACTGATGTCCAGACTGGCAAGATCTTCAGTAGATGTGTCAGCCGAGGATATACCACTGATGTCCACACTGGCAAGATCTTCAGTAGATGTGTCAGCCGAGGATATACCACTGATGTCCACACTGGCAAGATCTTCAGTTAATGTTTCAGCTGTGGATCCACCACTGATGTCACAACAAGTGGATCTTCTATTGATGTGTCAGCCAAGGAAACACCACTGAAGTCCAGATTGGTGAGATCTCATTGATGTCTGGTGAGGAACTATGACTGATGTCATGATGAGTGAAATCTTCTGATGCTGTTTCTGCTATGGACAGACTGGTGACTGGTGAGATCTTCTGTTGATGTTGTACAGTCAGGACCAACCACTGATGTCCGGACTGGGGAGTCAGTTGAGAAGGGAGAATATTCTGTTAATGTGTAGGCTTGTGCGACTCTCTTGGTGATGTTACATCATGTGAGAGTTTTCTTCTTCTCATGTTGTATAGGGTGAGAATCCACTGCTTTCCAGAATACCGACACTTTTCTGACCATGTCCATCAGGTGACACAGTAAGGGTCTTCAGTCTATGCCCAGAATCCCGAGAGACTTCAAATGATTCCAAGAGCAATCAGACCCAGCGAATCTACTGTTGGTAGTTCGGCAAAACAGTTTCCAGTGGTCATTCAAGATGGAAAATATCTCATGTGCACCAAGTCCCCAAAGGGTTGGCCACATGATGCAATTGGTGAGCATTCACACTGGCTTCTGGCATGACTAGCCAATGATTTGCGTCTTCTTAACACTTAAAATGGTCATCAATGGCATGTGCTGAACGATTGAAGTCTCTTGACCATGTAATGTCTGTTGTTGCCAAGATATTCACCTCTGTTCTGTATGTTATTTAAAAAGGTAGTGGAAGGCACATTTGATCTTTGGTTAAGGGTGACACTTATCAATCTCTATACAAGTCTGTTATTCCCTGTGCCATGTTTATTCCATGAAATTTCTTGTACATACACATAACCAGAACCAGAAGGTATTTCAGACAACACAAGTAACAAGATTCTTACAGTTGTCCACAATTCCATGTCAAAGCAGAAACCATATGAATCCTTTCGAATACATGACAGTGATGAGAAGAAAATAATATGAAAGGAGACAAATTGAATGGCAGAAAGTCAACTGACAGCACCAATGATAACGGGGTCTCAAGATTTTCTACCACTGTTTTTCTCCCTTTACACAAAATGGTGACTATAGGGTGAGACAACAGGAGGAAAAAGGGGTAGTGTTCGCAGCAATGGAGGAATATATATGCCTGCAGAGCATATTTAAGAGAAATCAAAATGAAACCAATGAAACAATCTAACCTATGTTTGAATATCAAAAAAGATAAAAATACAGCTTTGTGTTGCTGTCAACCCTCAAGACCACAATCACTCTACGTCTCTTGTCTAGTTCTGGAGATGAGTGTAAGCAATTACTGCCATCGTATAGCTGTAATATTGCTGAGTGCGGCGTCAAACAACAAACAAACAAAACTTACCGTCTCCAACCCATTCTTTTCCCCGGATGGGAATAGTCAGGTTAGCAGCAGAGTTGGTGTAAATGGACACTTCACCTAGAAGGAAGAGACAAAGGAATTTAGGGACCAGCCATTTGATAAAAAATAAAGTGAGGGGAGTTTGTTGGGATCCTTAAAAAAAAAAAAAAAATCAGAAAATTGTTTCATTTCAAACATACCAGATGAGATTCCAATTTTACTTGTGAAAGAATAATGTCAAACAGTCTTGATAGTCATAAGAGGTCAATTTAGCTATAAAAAACATGCACTAGTACAACCTACTATTGAATTACGCAATCTAATTTATAAAGTGTGTGTAAACAAAATTTCAAATTTGTGTCTGGCTAACCCTTACCTGCTTACTTGTCCTCACAACAATATCAATACACACTCAATAGCTCTAAGCTTTATGTACCATACTACATCACTAATGACTGTGTTATGTGTACTGGGATTGTACTTATTTAGTCTAGTTTACACATCTCTGTTTCAACTTTTATATATTTATGGGACCAGGGTGCAACCTGGTTATGTCAGGTGAACTAGCTTTTCATGTCAACATGCACCTATTGCAAGTTAAATCAAGTTCCTAAAATCGAGTCCTGGTTTGTTGTTTTATACTGCAATTGGCACTACTTCAGATAAATCAGGGTGGTCTGTACATTATCGAATCTGGGTAAGACTAACAGATGGTTGATGTTATGAACAACATTCTATTGGAAAGGTGAGACAGAATCAACAATTAACAAAGTCTGACAGCTGCCTGATACACCATGGCTGGCAATATTTGAGTCGGGGATAGATGAATTTGATTCCTAACTGTTGGGTCACGACTCAAATATTTATACAGACCAATGTCATATAGCATGATAGCGCTTGAATATTGCCATCTTCCCGAAGTTAACTGACTAAAAAAGTCCAGTAACCACCCTTGCTGAACTTGGCTGGTATCATGGCGTTACATTTTGGCTGGACTAACGAGTCCAATCAAAATCACGCAACGAAATCAAAATCTGGTTCGTAAACTGTCATGCAGATTTTGGTCGATTGCAGGATTTGCAATGCAATACGATCGAGGCCTACGATCGAGCCTGTGAATTCCAGCCTAGTTCGGCAAGGGTGGAAACTTGACTTTTAAAGTCAGTTAACTCTCTTGCCTCAAAGATGGAATATTGCTGGGTATGGTGTTAAACAACAAACAAAAAAGCCCAAGAAACTCTTATACAAATTTGAGTTGATGTGTTCTTTCTACACAAATGTTGATATTGCACTCACTGTATTTTCATTTTAAGTATGCCATTTCTGGGCCCCAACTTTTTACATGATTAATAATGTCTCAATCAAAGGTATTTAGTTATCGAGGGAATGCAATTCAGTAAAGACAAAAAAAGAATATGGGGGCATCTTAGAAAAAAGATAACTTGTTTATCATCTTCTCCTTCTTGTATTCACAAATGAGGGCCTGCTACTTTTAAAACTTTCAAGATGGGCTATGCCTGGCTTGTTGGGAGTAACACATATTTCAAACACTGATGACAATCAAAGCTGTGCTGGGTGCCTATTATAATTGAGGCCATCAAGTATGTCAAGGGCCATAAAACTTTTAGCAATATTCCCATGAGGTGAATTGAACCTAGCCTTCAGCATGAGAATGAACGCTTTACCCACTTGGCTACTGCTGCACTATCTTACAAACAAACAAACAAAACACCACAATTATACATGTCCTATTTCAAATAAATACATCCTCACCAACTTCAGCGTCTACATTTGTTTTACTCTTCTTCCTCTTCAGAACCAGATTAATGACCTCAGAGCTGAATGGTACACATGACAGCTTGTTGACAATCAGCTGCACATCCTTGTACTGGTTGAAGAGGAACATCATCTGTCTGAAACATTATCAACTTACACTAAAGATGATGCTTCAAATGGAACTCTTGAAGTGGGTGAGTTGGGTTTAACACGACTTGGGCAGTATTTACAGCTATATTGCTACATGAACTTGATGAGGGAGGAAAGTCCTAAGTGGTGAAGATTTAGACAATAGCACTTTGGTGAAACCCACGTGCATGGCTACAGTGGTGACAAACCTCGACAAAAAACCAAGGCGAACTGGGATAGAAACTCATGATCAAAGGTTTCGGACAAGTTCACATTAATTAAACAACTTACTTAGTCATGATAGGTGAGGGCCATAACAAAGATCAATGAACATGCTTACCCTTCACGTTTGTTACCCTTGCCAACAAAGAAGAATGCTGAGTCCTGGGAAATATTCATCGCTTTCTTTATCCCCACATGAGCCATGTCCTCCTGTACCATTGGCGATACCTTCACATACCACTTGGCTGTGCCTGAAATACAAAATTAAACACAGTTGGTAACTAAGCATGAAAGTTAAAGGACTCTTCTCTTTATCCTTATGTTAAAAGTTGAAGGTTAGGGGTCCCTAGAAGGCCTGAAGACCCTTCATAATTCCAATCACCACTGAACATGACATTACAAATCAAAGTGGAAAGATATCTCTTGATTAATAACACCAAGAACAGAGATGATCATGACAAAAATGATTACTAATTCATGAATCACTTTTACCTCCAAGAAAATCAAATTACCTGAGGCTTAATTTGCTGATGTTCAACCTATACAAGATAAACATGAAATATGTAAAGCAAAATTGACTGAAATATATCACTTACGGTCCCAAGACTTTTCCTCTGCATCCAATTCAGAAATTTCAAGATCTCCCAGCGCCATCTTCAGCTCTAGTGAACATTGACAATAATTGAGTAAACAAGAGAACAAATTTTCAAATTAACAATCTACCACAGCAGGATTACATATGATCAGCTATTTATCACATGTCCTGGGACAAACTGAAAATCTGAAGTTTTGTTTTCAGCACAATTCTAATATATGAAACAATTTATATCTGGACAACAATTTTTTTATGTTAGGGGTATAGGCACTATTTAAACATTTGATATTTCCACTAGTAGCAACGCCAGTTTCGTCACAAGGGACAAGGACAAATATAGGTGACATTTTTCAAAATGTATATTGTGAACAGGGATAGTCTATAGTTACCACTCAAATCTTATTTTCAAGACAAGGCCGACATGTTAGTTTTTCATTAACAAGTAATTAGCCTCTCTGTATTCAAGGTATTGGTATCATACATTCGTGGCTTATTCGCATTTTACCAGCAAGTCAATTCAGATGTTTACCAAAATGCACTTATTTATGACTATCAATGCATCATCAAGCACAATTCACATTTAGCGAAAGCAGAGAACCAAGAGCTAAACATACTGGCTGTAAGTTCACTTGTTCTTTCAGTCAACATCTGGATCACACTTGTCGAGAATACTTCAGCCAACACGTCCTTTGCCTTTTCCCTCTGAATATCTCGTTTAATTCTGGCTTCAACCTCATCTGCTTTCTTTTCTGCTGTCTTCACATCATCATCCTTATCATCATTTAAAACTGATGCTTCTTGCTTTGCATTTTGTGATGACTCTGAACTTTCAGGTACTTTCTTTGAAGGTGTTGTTTTTTTAGCTGGTGATGAGGCTGGCTTTTTAGTATCGCTCACTCCAGATTTTGGTTCATCTTTCTTAGATGAGCTTGAAGGAGTTTTCCCAGAAGAGTCCTTCTGTGGTGGAGCTTCTGATCTGGCAGGAGACTGTTTCGTGGACTTTACTGGAGTATCCTTCTTCTTGTTTGTTTCCATATCTTCATCTCCCATATCCCCTTCAATAGATTCTAAATCATCATCTTCAGGCTTCTTCTCTTCAGCCACGTTCTTCACAACAGCAGGTTTCTTGTCCACCGAGCCTTTTTTCTCAACAGCTGGCTTTTTTTCAGCAGGTGACTTTTGAACAGGTTTAGCCGAGGCTTTGGGTGCTGCAGTAGTTTTATCATCAACCTTGCCTTTTGGTTTGCTCTCAGTCACTTTTGCCGTATCTGTTTTACTGCTCACACTCTTACGGTCAGTTTTGCCTTTTGTACTATCTGTCGGTTTGGGTGTGGGTTTGGGTGAAACTTTTGGTGCAGGTTTCTTTGCAGGTATTATAGTTTTTTCTTCCACAATCTGTACATCCTCATCGTCATCCCCAACTTCTTCCACCACAGTCATGTTTGCCATGTCACCATCTTCATCTGCTTCATCAAGCACAGTCCATTCACTTGGAAAGGCCACGCCATCACCAAAGTCACTCCCACAATCACCTTCCAGATTGTCATCTGACATAACAACATCATCCTCTACATCCATTCTGTCTGAAATTAAGTGGACATATCATGTATTAACAACAACAACCTTGGGTGAGAATTCATATTCTACTTCACAGGATCAAGCAGATTTTCAAGACTGTTACAGTGTTTTCTGTCATAAACTTCTATATCTTGTGGACACCTATCAAAAATAACTGGAAAACAGTGCACAAATAATTAATACCTTAAACGTTTACCATAAAGGAGTACAACTAGAAATGAAATCATAGTGATGTTTTAACTAAAATTAGAACACAACATTAACACCTTAAACACTGGGCAACAATGCAGTTTATTGGGCACAGCCATAGCCAGCGGATAGCTCTACAATCCGCTCAATTACCACGCTATAGTGCCACCGCTGTCTCGCTACACCATTACCGTACCTCACGCTCCAGTGACTCTCGCTTCACGATCCAACACCCCTTTTTAGTCTTAGAGAAACTTACACGTCTTTACTACCCTACACACGTTTTCGGTCTTAGGGAAACTTACATGTCTTTAAGATCCAACACCACTTTGCGGTCCTTAGGGTTAGCTTGCTTTGGGCTAGGGTTAGCCATAAATTCTTACCCTTTCAAGCGTTAATCCAATTGGTCAGTCATGTTGACATAAACAATTGCGGGTATGGTTTCAAGAAAAGATAAACCAGAGAGCAGACCTTGCCGTCACTTATTGTTTATGGAGATATGCAGGTGTGTTAATGATCCGTTAAACAAGCACTGATTACATGTGATAGCACTCGTGGTCCAGTGGTAGAGCGTCGGCTAATTAACGCATTAATAAGCCAAGCCGGTGAGCTGGCAAAGCACATTCGAGCCCCTACAGCACTAATTGGATCTGAAAAAGTGCGCCCAGTAAAGTGCACTACTCCCAAACATTGTCTTAGAGCAGTTCAGTTGCTTTCACCGACCATGACACTATTCATCATTCAAGATCAAACCGCCTATCTGGTTAGCTCACATCCATGTCAGGAGGGCTTACTGTTAAATACTTCTAGCTAGGGCGTATGATTTTCACGGTAAGGGTTACAAGTCAACTGTAAGCACCCCTTTATATTACCTGCAATATCGGGCACAAATATTTTCATTGTTGACTTTGGCTCAAGGGTTATTGCCTGTTTGAGAGATGTTCTCCAACAGAAAAAAATGGACACTGTGAAACAAACTTTTCGAGGAAGTGAACGCTGAGGAATGATTCCAGATCAAAAACAAAACCTATGGTGTTTCCACGTGGGTCGCCATCTTGTTTTGAAAAATCACTTCACTTTATATTTTTGATTTATCTTGATTACTTATTCACATCTGCATATTCATATAGCTCATATTCATATCTTGAAATAAATGACTCATAAAAATTGGTATGCATATACTAAACATTTTGTTATAATTTGAAGCCGATCGGGGACATTGGCTTCGAAGGTATCATACAGCGCGCACTGGCATTGACATCTTACGCATGTAATTAGGCCTACTGATATAAACGATGAACGAATTGGAAATACAGCAACCGAAGCCAAATTATTGATTAATTGCATACAAAAACAATCTACCCGATGTTCACAGTTCCTCTTACCGTAATAATGAATTCAGCTCGCAAGAAACTCCGTAACTACAGAGGTTTACGCAAGATGGCTGCGACTCAGGTCCCTGGATTGTAGCCTTGCAGAGAATGGCAAATTACAAAATTAGGATTTATATGCGGAAAGGGGAAATGTTTTAACGCACGAATTAAACGTCATGGCAACACTGCAGTTTACCGGGAAAGTTTTTATCACTCATTGGTCAGGGCTGCCGGCTAAGGCTCTCGCTTCATTGATCTTGCGTGCCCCACTATCCTCAGGGTTACTAGTGTTTCCGAGCACTCCTTTACAAAGTGTTGAGCATCCCCTGCCAATGAAATACACCTTAGGGTTATATAGTACTGAGTTCAGAGATGTGTCAGCTATCGCTTTTAACGAATTCATCCAAGGTAATTTGAGAAAAGTCCGAATAATATTTATAATATTTCGAGTTTAGTGGAGAAATGGCTACAATGCACACGTCATTTCTTCTTCCTCATTACTGATAACCAAAGACGTAGATCTACCACAATAGAATAATGGTATTCGGTACAGGGATTGGTCATTTGTTCTAAGTAAGGGACTTCCTAACAATTGTGTGTAATTTCTTCGTAGATCTTGGTTCTATTTGATGGATTAAACACAAAAATATGACATGACACTATACAGCCTTGCAGTATGTGGGAGCATAGACCAATAGACACGAGGATTATTCACATTCAGAAAAAAAAATCCCGAACACCCAAAATAGGCGAATGAATAAGATTCGTGGGGAAGCAAGATCGGGCTTCGGAAATGTTTCACTTCGGTTCAGTCAATGATTCAACAGGGAGCCTATATCTGTATTAAAGGCTCCCTGATTGTGTCAACTAGGCTCTCCATCGTCTCGCTAACCACACGATAAGCTCTCTTACAGACCCCAGAACATATCACACCCTAATCACCCCGTTTCATTTCACTCCTCACCTAATCCCATTCTCAGCTGGCGTGAAATTATGAGACTTGACAGTTCCTTAATACTCGGCGATTCCCTTCTGGAATTATTTTTATTTAATCTGACACATAACATGTTTTCAGGGACTACTAGTATATGCTCGCCCCCGCTAACCATTACGCATATGGATGGAATTGATTTAGTTTTTTAAAGTTAGTTCAAGGGGACGTTTTAATTATGTGACATAATGTTCACTACACGAAACCTTTTATGGACAAAAACCTCTTTATTGGGTTTAACTTTTAATACATTTTCAGGTCTCACCAGGTAGACTCTCATATATACAAGCCCTTTAAAAGAAATATCCGAATACTCCGAAACAAGTCTACAATCGTTTGGTCAGTCTAGATTTCTCAAATTTCTGAGATTCAATGGGCTTCTTTTGTATTACATTTTTAAAAGACTGTTGGAAAACATATGTCTATTATAGACTAAATGTTAGTCTATTAATCAGGTGAATGGCTGAATTAGTACATGTAAATGTTGATTTATATTCATGTATCTAATGTTTACATGTAAAGGAACATTTGAATAAATGTTGATTTATATTCATGTATCTAATGTTTTCATGTTAATGAATATTTGAACAAATGTTGATTTATATTCATGTATCTTAAGTTTTCATGTTAATGAATATTTGAACAATTGTTGATTTATATTCATGCATCTTATGTTTACATGTAAAGGAATATTTGAACAATTGTTGATTTATATTCATGTATCTTATGTTTATATATTAATGAATATTTGAACAATTGTTGATTTATATTCATGCATCTTATGTTTACATGTAAAGGAATATTTGGACAATTGTTGATTTATATTCATGTATCTTATGTTTATATATTAATGAATATTTGAACAATTGTTGATTTATATTCATGTATCTTATGTTTACATGTAAAGGAATATTTGAACAAATGTTGATTTATATTCATGTATCTTATGTTTATATGTTAATGAATATTTGAACAATTGTTGATTTATATTCATGTATCTTATGTTTACATGTAAAGGAATATTTGAACAAATGTTGATTTATATTCATGTATCTAATGTTTATATGTTAAGGAATATTTGAACAAATGTTGATTTTTGTATTCATGTATCTTAAGTTTTTATGTTAATGAATATTTGAACAAATGTTGATTTATATTCATGTATCTTAAGTTTTCATGTTAATGAATATTTGAACAATTGTTGATTTATATTCATGCATCTTATGTTTACATGTAAAGGAATATTTGAACAAATGTTGATTTATATGCATGTATCTAATGTTTATATGTTAAGGAATATTTGAAGAAATGTTGATTTATATTCATGTATCTTAAGTTTTCATGTTAATGAATATTTGAACAATTGTTGATTTATATTCATGTATCTTATGTTTACATGTAAAGGAATATTTGAACAAATGTTAATTTATATTCATGTATCTTATGTTTACATGTAAAGGAATATTTCAACAAATGTTGATTTATATGCATGTATCTAATGTTTATATATTAATGAATATTTGAATAAGAGAATTCGATTTAGAATACACCTATACACCAAACCGACTGGATTGGCTGCTCAGACACAATTATTTACAGGCCGCATCATACAACTACAACATTGCTGCTGCGTTCACCCACACACACAAACTGTCTGTTTAAATCAGCATACACTGGTTCAATCAGCCATTTCTGGCATTCTCTGCACATTTTCATATTACAAACTCCCAGACCCACATTTTGGTGATCCATTTTTGGCGTTTCGATTTTACAAATTATTATAAAAACTCCTAGTTCGTTTTAAATTTCCTGATAGAATTGTGTTATTGTCACGGAAATGTATTATTATTCTAAAAGGATAACTCAATTCAATTCGTATAGTAAATAAAAAATAAACAATAAAAGAAGTGATATTTGCCAAGGATGGGTTAATAATATTTTATTATTTAATTCAAGCCATTAGAAATTCGCCTTCGTCTTTACTGCGCGGTTACTGTTATGGTGTGATCATAGGTTCAGCACGCCGGTTGAAACACAACACACCGTTATTGTACTGTTCCCCCATCCAGATATTCGATTCCAAATTAACCCGTGAGTATGACAGATAAACTGTAGTGCATTCTTCAGTTTGGTGTATATCTCTGATTAATATTTACAGGATAGTCAACATGACACGATGGCGATTGTTAACAAACTATTTGTGTTGATATTCATCATGTGCGTGTTGGCATATAATCGCTCTTGACATTGCGATCAGGGTCCAAAACTTGTATTTGATTATTTTTTTCCTTCAAAATATGATTCAGCAGTAATATAGATTAAGAGTTTACGAAAGAAAATTGTTGATTTTCTCCCATGTAGAGTATATTCCAGAATGAATGAAGTCTCTAACATGTTTAATCAGGGTAATGCGATTTCTACAATTATTATGAGTATTTCTGTCAACAACCATGTTAAATGATTAAAGACAATCCTTTGTCATATTTTGCACAAAATATAGGGGAAGACATCATTGATCAAATCCAACCATTCGCCGCTCATTTTGGACCAGTGGTTAATGTAAAATAGATACATTTTAATAGAAATCAACTAATTCGTGAAGAATTTCACTACTCTCGGACAGACTTGTGGCTATGTGTCTCCCTGGAATATTAGGATGTGTTTCATTTGCAATAAAAAAAACCCATGCAAATAATAACCGCATTGTTTTCACACTTGTGAATCAAAAGATGAATTGATTAGAATGGTGACCTCTAAGAAAATAATATCAATACAAGTCTTGTAGATGTATGAAAGATTAACGGTTCTTCTATGGTAAATACACAATTAGCCAACACCACAAAACTAAAGTTTTTGCTATACCAAAAAGATATCTTTTCGAAAATAACTCTGAATTCAAATTTTATGTCACATTTTGAAGTATTAAATACATTGCATAACTGGCTTACCAACTCTATATTTCACATCATACACACAAGGCAATCAATTGAAACTATTAAATCACTAGAGATGAGATGCTACTTTTCCATTGGCTAGTCCTTGGATGCTAATTGTCCCCAATCAAGGGAACCTTATAAAATTGTATAAGCTTTTCATGGCAATAATGTTTTCTCATTATAAGTGAGCTGCTGAACACAAAACTACATTCAGTCTTTCTCTTGCCAGGAGCATCAAGAAATAATTTATAAAGTTCCCATGCATCAGAATTTCATTCTTTCATTAGTATGGCGTAATAAGTTCTAAAAAAGAGGGTGTTTATGAAATCTTTCATCAAGTGTGATGCATCATTTACTTCTGGATATGTAGAGGAAAGTTGGAAACATCCTTTTAGTGGTGCTTACTGTTGTCTGTTGTATAATATGCACTAACAACGCGCTGCATGTTTGGGTTCAATAATGATATGTTGATATTGATAACATTCATCATGTTCATATTCCGATATGCAAGGGGTCATGTTAGGTTCTGAGTAAAAAAGCTTTATGTGCCAGGTCAGCACATAGTGGTAGTGGTTGCTGTGTTGGTGAATTGGAGCACCTGCCTAACCCTAAATAGGCTAAGGGTAAAATCTTACCTCTTCGTCTCTGGACCAAGGCTAATAGAGCCAAGGTCACCTGAAGTGACAGATGCACAACTCATTCTGTTTGGCTGATGGACGGTCGGGTAGCCTAGTGGTTAAGGGTTCGCTCATCACGCCGAAGAACAGGGTTCGATTCCCGACATGGGTACAATGTGTGAAGCCCATTTCTGGTGTTCCCCGTCGTGATATTGCTGGAATATTGCTAAAAGCGGCATAAAACCATACTCACTCACTCTGTGTGGCTGACAGTAAATTTACCAGTGTTCTGCCAAGAAACTGAACAATAGGGGACAGGGAGCTCTTCAGCATTAACACATGGGGTCATTTTAAAAAAGTATGGGGTCACACTCTGAGAGAGCATACAAAATTTAAAACACAATGGTATTCAAGTTACTGATGCAAAGTAAGGTTTGCAATACAGAAAATTTTCGGATAGCATCTTTCTCAGATAATAAGTATTCCAGAAACAACATCCAATGTCCTATAATTAGCCACAATAGCTTGTTTGTGATCACTGCCGTTAGCATGTCTCATCAAGGAACTCGTTATAAATT